AAGGTAAAAAGGGAAATTTTCTGCCTTTGCACATGGCAAAAGCCTCAGCACAAGGTCACAGCAATGTCACTGCAGCAGGGAGAGCTGTGACACTGAAGGAGGGCTGCAGGAAGAGAAGAAACTCTCAGCTTCTTAGAAGTAGAAGGAAATTGCAAGTAGGGAAAGATTGGCAATACATGGTGTGGACCTGGCCTCCAGAGGAGAATCCCTTCTCCCTGAGCACAGCCCTCAGCAGCAAACCCTCAGACTGCAGGGCAGTGTGACACTGCTTGGTACAGTTTGCTTCAGGTATAAACTGTTTTTTTAAAACTGAATTTTTAAATTCTCCATCTGATTACTTGTATTTCAATTCAGTTAGGCACCTCAAAAAATCAAATTACATTCTAAGAATCCAAAAAACAAACTAGAGCTGTGCTTCAGCTGCGTGTAGTTACTATTCTGCACACCTTTATGGCAAGTAAGTGAAGAGAAAAAATGACAACTGTATGAGAGCAGAGGAGCATTTCCCTGGAAGAGATTTTTTGGGAATGGCTACAAAGATGTGCACAGTCCCATGAAATTCCAGCAATTCCTACTGTTTGGTTCCTCATGACTCAAACCTGAAGCAGCAGAACACACCCACAGCAGCACATCATCATCCACAGTGACAAATTCACACAAGATTTTGCCTTAAGCTATGGAAAGTCCAACTTCTGCTTTAACATTTTGTCTGAAAAATAACTGAAGTAACTCAGTGGGAAAAGAAGCAGCCGCAGATATAAATGACACTTGTTAATAGATAAATAGTATTTACAAAAGCCAAGAAATTAAAAGCTCCTGTTCCAAATGTACTGTAACACAGCTAAATATTTACTTAGAGGAATTCACAGTAGAAACTCTCAAGTGTGGCTACTGAGGATTTTATGTGGGATATTATTCAGAATGCACACTTTATCACTAACATGTTTTCTACTGCATGGGCTATTGTGTAGCTCCTATGGACACATGCAGAATAAACAAAATAAACAAAACCTCCCTGAGATGGCATTCTAAACAACTTGGAGCACCTAAAAGCTAATGACTACTTAGAGAAAAACCAGAGCCTCTGTGGGAAATGCAGTCTTGCCTTTCCTGACTTGCCCAAATGTAAAATACATTAACTGAGTGATGTCAGTGAGCCACCTGATAGCACAGAGAGGTAACTGGATGGGAAAACCAGAGGAAAAATAGATCAGAAACATCCCTGGAAGAGTTCAAGGCCAGGCTGGAGCAAGTTGGTCTAGTGGAAGTGTCCCTGCCCATGGCAGGGGATGGAACTAAATGATCCTGGAGGTCCTTTACAACCCACACCATCCTGTGAGTCTGTGACAAGAATTCTGAAGAAGGCCTGAAAAAAAACTTACATGAAACAGTTGCCTGAAAAATGCCTTAATTACAGCCAAGTGCCTTCATTCCTCTAGTTTCCAAGATCTTCTCTCAGAAATTAGGCAAATTCAAGGAGCAATACAGGCTACACAAACTATTTCAGTTGTGGTGGTTCTCCCTACTCTGTGGAGGAAGAGCTCTGCTTTGCTTCACTGGCTGCTATATCCAGGGTGCCGTGGAGAGTCTTTAAAAAAACCTTCAGTGAAATTCAGGCCAAAAAAAGAAACAGCAGGATATTAAAGGAAAAGTAAGTTTTCAGTAGAATATTGACTGAGTTTGACCAAAACAGTTCCAGTTCTAAGAAAAAAAGAAAGACCTTTAGCCTTATCCTAATCTTCTTCCTTCCTTGAAGCATCTGTTACAGATTTGCCTCACTCCACAATAGTTTTAAGAAAAAATAACCCAAAACCTAACTCAGAGCAATTCCTGGCTGAAGAAGAAAGACAAAGAAGTATTTAGTTATAGCCATATTTTCAGCATTACAGCTTTCAATACAGCCTAATGTCAATGTTAACACAGAAGCAGCCCATTTTCAATACTGAATAAGGACTATGGAATTTTTGTTTTTATACAGATTGTTTTAAGGGCTTCTTGTCATCTTATTCATTTATTGCACAGATCATCTCCTCCCACAAGCAGTTGTGCAATCTCTCCGTGGCAACAAAGCCAATTGCTTAGTGTCCCAATATTCCTTTCCCATGTATTTACACTGCCTGAACATAATTCACTAGCTGGAGATAAAAAGGAATTACTATCATCAAGTTGTGCTCTCTAGGTCACATTTTGAGAGTCTGTGCTGTAGGAAAATAATTAAGTGAAGATACATCTACCTCTGAGCTGCTCATATTAAAGTTTAAAATTGCTCTGCACTCAAGCATTGCCACCTGTTCTTGCATTTTAATTTTAAAAATTCTGAATCCCTTTAATGTAAGCCTGAAAATGCTTAAATCCTGGAAATATGAGCATTCACCCACCACAACAATTACTCTCCTATTAAATTCATGAAGATATATGAAAGAATGGTACAAAGATTAAAGGGTATTATAAAGCCAAAAATATATATGCATGTATATTATGTACTACAACTCTGTGTTTTCAAACCACTGTCTCCACTGTGTCTAGAGAAGGCACACATTTCAATTAATAATACATCCAGGCTTGATTTTCAGTTGTAACTTTTCAGGAGACTTTACCCTTTCAGGCATGATATTGTAACAGTCCTGAACTTCACTTTTCATTAGAAGACATCAATCAACTTTCTTTCAGTAAAAACACATGTTCACTGCAGACCACAGAAATTTTTAAACAACAAGAGAAAGCTCTAATGTGTATATAGGTTTATGGCCACCAAAAGATGAATCAAATCTTGTCATGTACTTATCAATTATACAAAAATGGCTTTTCAACATCCAGCTTGAAGTCCAAAACAATTTTCCTTTTCTCCCAACACTGTGAATTCACACTTCATCTCAGGGCTTTGGATTTCCTAAGCTCTAATACCAACCCAACCACTTACCCTTTAAACTCTGAAAAAGTACCTAAATGGTCCTGCCTCCAGAATGCTTCTCCATTTCCAGGCAAGCATTCCTTGTCCCCTGCTCTCCCAGGGAAGGAACCATCTGACATGAAGCTTTTATAAACAAGGTGCTTTGAACTTACAGTAACAGATGTGCTTAATTTTAAAATGTTGTATTTACTTAAACCCACGTACACTTATCATGTTGCAAGCTTTCCTTTTTCTTTCAAATGCTTCTTATTAATTTTTACCCTCAACTTTTGGCCTGATTAAGGTCTCTGTAGTGAAGCTTAGAGAGAGGAGACATTCTGGTTAAAAGTGACAGACAGTTGTTTCCATTCTCTAATCCCTGAGATTTTTATTGGCTTATTAAATATGTATACTTCGAATGAGATTTCAATTATCCTGGTATATAAATTATCCTTTTTTTCTTTTTTCTTTTTTTTTTCTCTCAAAGAAAATTGACTAGTGCCATCTCCTGGTCACATGTTTTCAGCTCACAGACACAGCTGGACCATGCCCAAATTCCTTGTCTTACAGTACAGATAAATGCAGAGGTAAAAACAGGTAAACACAGACCTGCTCTAAGTTGTGCCACTTCAGCTCTGGAAGCTTTTCCACTAATTATCTGTAGATAATTTTTACATTATTCATAACTTTCTTCATATGCAAACCACGGTTTTGAAATCAGGTTCCAAGTCCCACGACCAATAACATTGGCCTGGGGCTTTTCTTTCCACTTATAAATATTTGAAGCAGAATAATTCCCTCAGAATTCGATGAGATGTTTTTAAAAAATTAAATGGAAGAAGTTCAAAGAATTATTTTTAAAAGGGCTTGAAGGAAGAATTTCTCAGTGCTAGGGTGGAGCAATTATAATTGCATATATTGTAGACAGGCAGGTTTTTAGATTCTTTTTCTTAGAATGTAAGATTAAAACTGCTACACATCTCACTGAAGCACCTCCACAAACTTCTTATCTGCTAAAACAATTACCTATGGCAGTCATGTGCACAGTCTATGCTATTCCCACACTGACTTGAACTACAATAAACAAAAGATATTCTCCCTCTCTTTCATCATCCTGAACACCTTTACAAACACTGTTAAGCAACCTCCAAAAATAGCAGAGATAATACTTAGTGTCCTTCAGAACAGAAAATCTTCATCTGTTACACACCAGCTTGAAGCCCATCTCAAACCAGGTCATTTTAACATTGAAAATATCTTTTTTTTCCACATTTGCATGATCTTAACTTCACATTATCCTTCAGTTCTCCTGCAGCACTCCTGTGTTTTATCAAGCATATGAGCCACTCCCTTCATCACAACATTATGAACATCTCCTTTGCTGAACAGCACTCTATAAAGCAATTAAGATTCAGTTGACTACAGAAAATGAACATTGCAATGCTCTTGGCAAATCCAAATTTAAATAAATACTTAATTCCCAAGATTCTCATGACTTCCATACAGATACATTTCATAGAATCACAGAATGCATTGGGTTGGAAGGGAACTTAAAGCTCATCCAGTTCCACCCCTTGCCATGGGCAGGAGGGACACTTTCAACCATCCCAGGTTGCTCCAAGCCCCATCCAACCTGGCCTTGGACCCTTCCAGGGATGGGGAAACCACAGCTTCTCTGGGCATCCTGTGCCAGGGCCCCAGCAGCCTCACAGGGGAGAATTTCTTCCCAATATTTCATCTAACTCTGCCCTCTGTCAGTGTGAAGGCACTGCCCACTGCTCTGCCACTCCATCCCTTGCCCAAAGTCCCTCTCCAGATCTCCTGGAGCCCATTTAAGCACTGGAAGGGACTCTAAGGTCTCCCTGGAGCCTTCTCTTCTCCAGGATGTATTTTCAATCCTTTCAGTGCACCCCAACAGTAACATAACTGTGTACACACAGAGCCATAACTCCGTGCATGTGTATGAACTCTGCATACAGAAATGTCTGGAAATGTTGTAGCGCAATGAAAACCAAATTTTAAAAAGATCAGCACTGTTATGTCAGTATACAACAATATTCAGAGGTGATGTGCTTTACTGAGAGAACTCTGTATATTGACATTGATTTACCTTCTCCTTGCATGTCCTCAGATTTCCTCCTCACAAAGATAACTCGGGGTCTCACAGCCTGAACGTGTGCAGCTCCTTGGCTTTCCTCCTAGGTATCATGCATTAAAATCACATTACAAATCTCACTTTTGATGTCAAAGCACAGCAAGATTACATTCAGCTTCAAGAACCATCCAAAGAAGTTTTTAAAGATTCATTAAACATGTGCACTTGTTCTCCCTACATCTGACTTCAAGAGAATTCAGCTCTGAATTAGCCTATTACAGCTATTCCCTCTGGACAAACATCCTGGGAGGAGCAGGAATGGATGGAAAAGTGCCACTTTAGACCTGAAGACACAGGAGACTTTCAATTTTTACTCAAAGCATGTAGTGGAAAGAACATAAAATTTCCCTGGCTTTCTTCAATACCCAGGCTATCTCCCTAGGTATCACCCTCCTGACTAGTAAGGGAAAGATGAAAGAGAAAAGAAATATAAAAATTTCAACACACAGGTTGGAAAACCCAAGCCAAATATAAAATTTATTTCCTTGGCCATGTTTTTAGAACTGGTTGCTCCAAGCCCCATCCAGTCCAAGGCTGGTCTTGGACTCTTCCAGAGATGGGGCAGCCACAGCTTCTGTGGGCACCATGTGCCAGGGCCTCACACCCTCACAGGGAAGAATTCCTTCACTATCTCTAATCTAACCCTGCCCTCTGGCAGTTTAAGATCACTGCCCCTTGTCCTGTCACTATGTGCCTATCTGGAAGACTTAAGCTTTCTCTTAAGACAGACAAATTTAAAGCAGACAAGATGAGAAAGAGTTGAGATTAGTTTCTGAGAGCATGAAGTTCTCATGGACACATGACTGAAGGACATCAATATATGATATGAATATTAAAAGTCAGCATAAGAGTTTTCATGGATCCATCTGAAGTGATTTTTTTTCTACTGGATTTGTAATATAGCAAAACTCAGTTTAAACTGAACCAAGCTACAAACAGAAGTTTAGAGATAACACAGATTCATAACCTACAATTCTGCATTCCTGAAGATTAAAAACCATGTTCTTTGAAATACTAAAAATGAAAGCTAATGAGAATACCAAAGTGACAATCCCACTTGAAAAATGCAGGTTGTATAAAAACACCCATACTTACAAAGGAATATTATGAAAATATTTTGCAACCAAGTGATTTTCTAAGATTTTAACAATGCATTTGGGACTTCAAATTATTTAGATTTACCATCTCTGGAATGTGTAGCCATGCAAATATGACCTCAATGTTCCTGTCCCTCCCATGATCAAAATGATTTATTTAGAATAGGAAGAGCTCAGCTTCCTCCAAGTCATTCTCTTGCTTCTTAGAGCTAAGACCATGGGGGCAAAATGGCCACAAATAACAGTCAATTCCTGTATTGTTGCACAAGAATGGACAGGAGGGGTCAAAGTAAAGATGTATTTAGTCTGGCTTTCTGTCTAACAGTGGCTAAAAGCATATATAAATCTCAAAAAAAAAAAAAAATCTAATGCCAGAAATGGAGGAGCAGCCAAGGAATTTGGATAGATAAGAAAATTCCTGTATTACTTAAGCCATTTGTTTTGGACTGAGTGACCACACAGGCTTCACTCTTCATGACTAAAAGGCATTTGCTCATGCCCAGGGTGAAAACTCAGTGCTCTTTCTGCTGGTGAAAACCTGACCTACACACCAGTGCCAAGGACAAACAAATCTGGCAGCTCCACATCCCTGCCAAACCTCCCTGGCACGAGGATCCTGCTCACTCAGGCTGCAGGAACCACCCAGGCTGTGCCATCACCTCCCAAGGCCAAGGCCCAGCAGGACAGCATCTGAAATCCTGCATTTGTCAGGTCTCTGAGCAAACTTTGCTCCTGAATAGATTTGTCTTCTGCCTTTGTGCGTAGGTGATACAGTTTGATTTCAGTCAAGGCAAACACTGTCTGCAGATGAAGAACAAGATGTGAGAGTCAGTGACTAACTTGTGAGGAAATCCTTCAAGAAGTCTGAAGTGATTGCTGCCTTAAACATTGCATAGAATGAATGAATCACCCTGAAAGCCTCAGTAACTCCTGCTCTCTTAGCTGGTGTAATGTTACCAGAAAATCTGTTCCTGCAGGCAGGTGACAAGGCAGATCCAATGGCAGAGCTGAACACAGATGCCATCCTTAATTAAAGCAGGGGAAAGCTCATCCTTGTCACAGGGTAGATAACTGCTGTCACAACAAGCTTTCAAATCACCTGGTACAGGGAAGGATGTAAAGATCTAGTAGAGGATCTTACAGAATATGGCTTAACCACAGTGATCATCTCTCCTGGATGGGGCAATCACTTAAAAGTATGATCACTTCAGAAAAAGTTATCCTGTGAGAAAGTGATGTAGAGTTAAATCAGGAATAACCACATTCAGGAAAAAACCAAACCCAACCAAAACACATGAAGTTCTGGGGTTTGGTTGTGTGGTTTGAAGGGAGGTTGAGTTTTACATGTCAGCAGAAAAAAAAGAAGCCACACTAAGGGTTCAGATGCAAGAAGAAGTTTCTAAAGATAAGATAATGTATAACTACCTACAGATAAAAGATAAGATAATATATAATTATCTGTATATCTTCTGTGAAAGGCACATGTGTTACCCTCTCTGTCCTTATTACTTTTGGCTAGAATCCACTTTTGCCTGTGAACAGTAATTCCAAGAAAGTCTGTTGTGGTGAGCTCAAAGTAAAAGAGGTATAACATTAAAAATCTTCTCTGAAGATGCAACACATCACTTCAGGTGACAAATTTAAGAACTGCTCAGACACCAATGGCACAATACACATCAAGTCTCAAAAACATAGACCCAAAGGCAGTTTACTGCAAGATACTTTAGATTATTTTTAATACAAATAAAACATCAAATACAAAAAAACTTCAGGGAAGGACAGAATTTATCCATGAATACAGCAACCATGGTAAGTATCTAATGCTTTCAAACACACTGTGAAGCCTCACATATTAGAGAGCAGTCTGCCACCTCGTTTTTAGCTTTTGCTACTTGTTATTTGAATTAGTTAGCAAGTAAACCATCATCTCTAGGTAACAGCACATACTAATAAAGTAGCAAAAAATGAACTGTCTAGGCTTGAAGCAGAGATCAATAGGATGTTTCTCTACCTTTAAGTGCTCTGAGGTTCATCATCCTCACTGCCTTTCCAGCCCTGCCCCTACTAGGACAAAGGAAGCTCCTGGAATGCTGAGTGGGTTACAGCTCATGAGGCCAAATTTCTGTATTTCTATTTTCACCTCCTCAGCCATATATCCAGGATGTCATCCCGCATTTGAAGGACTGTGCCCCTAAAACATGGGAATGCCCCAATGAATGTTGTATAGGACTGGAGTCTGTGAGACCACTGAAGCTGTGTGGAAGAGCAGAAAAGCTAAAAAAGAAGGTCAGAGCTTTAAAGAAGGGATTTTGTAAGGATTTGTCACAGGAAACACAGTCACCTTTACTGCACACATGCACTTTGACCCTTCTCAGCTGAATGCACTTTAATGCACCAGTTCTGTGATGTCAGGCATGACAGTGAAACAGGAAAGTTTATTTTCCCAGGTTTCAGTTTGCTCTCTCTGACTAGGCACAGGAAAGATCCTTTCAGCTCACCTGGGACAGATCCTCTGGGAGTGGTGTCATTCTGCAGCCTGGCTGGGCTGCTGGCAGAGCAGGATTTGAACCTGGCTGTGACTCCAGTTCAGCCAAAAGCATTGGACTAGGACTTGTATCTGCATCTCCAAAAATTTCTGCTGAGAGAAAAAAATTCCTTCATGAGCTGGAGCCATAATCTCCTGGTCAGCTCACATGGCAGAATGTGCAGCCTTTCAAACTTCCAACAAGGGGACATGCAATGTTAAAGAGAATGATTTCCTCCTTACATGGCTCATTGTATACCCCTTAAATTGTTCTTGTGGGGATAAAAATGAAATAAGAAATACATGTCTGTGGAAATTGAAAGAATAAATCAGCTTTATAATCTGTAGATTTGTAATGTGGCAGCATCTGAGAAAGCTTCAGAGCTGTACAGTTCATCATACCATTATATGCTTAATGAGCTTTATCACACTTACTGCAAAGAAATTGGAAAAGCTTCTTCATTAAATGTTTCACTCCTATATGAACTAAAAGAAACCTGTATATAGTCTCTTTTAAAGGGATAATTTGCTCTCTAATCCAACATTTATCATGGTTTTGCAGCCTGCAAGTGTGTAAAACATCTTTATGAAAAATGAACTGACAGCTCATGAACTAACTTTAGCCTTCTGCTATCATACAGAGCCAAAGAATGAATTTTAAGCCTAATTAACTATAATCATTGCTTAATTAACTGTAATTATTGTTCACTTTAAGACTGCATGTGCCACATTTCATTTGCATGTTGGTTTTTATACCCCTGACTTTTAGCATTGAAAACAAGGATTTATAAATGACTGATCATCAAGATGCTGTTATGTACCCACATGAGCAACACCTGCTCCATCCTACAAATGGACACCGTGTTCCCATAATACCAATAAAAACTGGTCACAAAACTGAAAACAACCCACAGACACACAATCCCCAAAATTCCCACAGACACCTCTGTGGGTGACTCATTCTGCCAGAGGAACTGAGTATCCACTGCAAGGTTTCATGTGCAGAGATGCACACCCTGAAATATGTGAGCTCCACCACCCATGGTATTATTATTATTTAGTATTAGCCCTGAAAATAATTTCCAAATAAAATGATGGCCCTGCATTGTAGCTGTTGTGGCTGTCAGGAAATAGTTGACTTGCACTGAAGGACAGGCAATCACATCCCAGTGCAGAGAGAAAAAAGGTTTGGAAGGAAAGTGGAAACAATCACAGATCATCCCTTCCACCCTTCACCCGACCCTCCCTGCAAAACCAGATTGTTTTCTTTCAGTGTTGACTTCAGTAACAAAAGGACTTAGAAACAAGGATTTCTGTTCCTTCTTGGTATGAAAACAACTCCTGTCTGGAAAGCAGATCCAAGCTTTTATACAATGTTGTTTCCTTAGCAATGCAACAAATTACTGTGCTGTGTTCAGAGGTGGGGAGGGAGGGAAGCTAAATTAAAAATCATCAGAATGCAACAGAAATCAGTCTGGGATTATAAAAATTATGTAAAAGAACAGGGCATTGCCCTGTGGTAGTTAGTCTATGTCCTCTCAAAAATATGCTGCAATAAAGACTAAAAACAGCACTACAAGATTTAGAGATGACCTTAAAAATCAGTAGAGAAACACACTGCTGGTGGATTATCATCACATGCAGGAGGTGCTTTGAAAAGTGTTAAGATATTTACAGGACAGTTAAAGGGCATAGTGAATTGAATTAAATAATTTTTCAAAATTATTTTTAAAGATACAAGGAGATACAACCCTGTTGTGCCAGGTACAGCCATGGACAGTGTGGATAAGGAGGGCAGAAGGACAGACAGACATAGGGACAGGTTCTGCCACTAACAGGCATCTTCCAACTCCATGCTCCTGAGCACCATTACAGACTTACAGAACCAGAGAAATCCCAGAATCCCAGAATGGTTTGTGCTGGAAGGGACCTTAAACCTCATCCTGTTCACCCCCCTGCCATGGGCAGGGACACCTTCCACCATCCCAGGCTGCTCCAAGCCCTGTCCATCCTGGCCTGGAGCACTTCCAGGGATCCAGGGGCAGCCCCAGCTTCTCTGTGCCAGGGCCTCCCCACCCTCACAGGGAAGAATTTCTTCACCACATTTAATCTAAATGTCTCCTCTTTAGTTAAAACCATTCCCCCTTGTCCTGCACTATCTGCAGATGATCTGATCACTGATTTATTGCTCCATCAGTGTCCTTAGTGCTGACTGACCTCTACCAACACAGTCAGACAAGTGACTCACAGAAATCCCTTATCTCAGGAAATCTCATGCAACCTATTTTCAAACAACCTTCAACAAACTACTTTAAAGGAAAAGTTTGATAATGTATAAAGTACCAGAATATATTTTCAAGGCTGACACTGGTGTAGTTGTCCAAAATGTTAGGTCACAGCTGGTTTAAAAGGTTACTCTCTGTGTGACCAGTTCAAATGTTAATCACTTTAAAACCAAGCAAATATTTTATTTTCTCCAAGATTGTTTTTGCCATGTGTTAAACACATTTAATTTCAATGCACTTCCTACTGGTCAAGGGTTAATAATGTGAGATAAGCGTCTCTTGTCAAATTCATAAATGTGAAAATTAAAAGGACAGAAAAGCAGCTGTTTGATCACTTTAATTTACACAACTTTTGATGAATCAGTGCAACCACGTTTGTGTTGCAACAGCTCAGTAATTATTTCAGTTTAGTTTAAACATATTTAAAACCACAGTCAACAAAATAAAGACTTTTAACATGCTTGCAGCAGCTACATTAAACAATTATAGAATCACATTTTCAGATAACAACAGAGAACCAGGGATAAAAAATAAGGAGGAGAAAGGATGGACCACTGCTTTCAGCACTACTTTCAACTGAAATAAAATAAATTTCCCTGCTTTACCAACAGTAACTCCCTGCTTTGTACAAGATGTGTGTGCTATCCATCTGTGAAAAAAATCAATTTCAATATCATTAGAGGAATATATAAAGCTAAAATATACTGCCATTTATGAGGCACTGCAGAATCACCACGATGGAGTGATAACAGCAAAGAGGAGCAGTGCTGAGCAAGGGGACACAGAGAAGCAGCTTGAAGTGCTGGTGCTAACACCTGTGCAATGGAAACTGCCTCCATCTGTTACTCAGAACTGAATTTGACTTAAAAGAATAAGATACACACTTTACAAGTTAACTTTTGTATAGGCAAATGGTATTTGCCATGATTTTTATTCCAATTGTAGGAAATTGCTAAGAGGAGTGAAGACAAGGCTTGAATTAAATCCAGTTCTTGAAACAGGAACACTAATAATTTCTTTGTAGGAATTGCCTGTAAATATTGGATTTTGAATGTATGGACTGAAATTATTTCAGATTCTGTTATGGAAAATCCTCAGAATGCACATGAATATCATAGAGAAGAAATAAGAATCTAACTGTACCTCCAATTTGGGCAAGCTGCCCTGGAGATGCAGAACGGAGCCCCTGGCGTGGTCTGTTCCCAAAGCTCTGAGCAGCTGGATGCTCCATAAAAATGGAATTTCCCATCAGGATTCTCTCCTGTACTCTGGACAGCCTTGGCCTCTGACCTTCACTGAGCTCCCCAATGCTGCCATCAGAATCCTGCAGAGAACACCAAAACCACAGCACATATAAAAACCCAGTGTAAGTCTTCCAAACCCAGATATTTTTTTCTAATTACATTAACCCTGAAAGCTTTTCTAAACTTAAGTTTATTCTATTTGCATTGGATGAAGAAAACAAGCCATGGAGATATCATCTGGGTTTGAAATGAAGATCTACATTTATCAGAAGGACAGAAAAGAAACACTTGCAGCCAAACATCATTTATTCTGTTAGTGGTATCTCTACATGATCAGAACTCAAGCTACATTTTTAGCACATGAAGCCTTTGATATTATAGATTTGGCCACTGTTGACTGCCTGACCTTGAAACATTGGCAGCATCTAAAAGCTATTGACTCTCTGCACCGCATGTCAGATAAAAGCTTCAGTTTTCAAGTGGGTTTGGAGGGCACTAAAAATAGGGATGGTCCCCTGGATCCTGACTTTTAAAGCTGTAAGTTAAACCCAGCTTGCTTCCATGTCAGAAAACAGGTGGAATACACACAAACACACACACACACATACATGTGTGCACAGTATCACTCTAAGGCCATACAGGGAACATCCAGGAGAATGTTGATTCTCCTCTGAAGGAGAAGGGGAGTTTATGAATGCCCTGGATGGACAGACTGAGTGGTCTGTCACTGTGAGAAAAGGAAAAAGCAAAGCAGAGCTGCATTTGTAACTGGCAGTGCTGATGAGAAAATGGCACTGCAATTACAGGCAGACTTGGGAGTTAACACTGGAGAAAGCTTTTCACCAAGTCCAGCCACCAGAGCTCATTAGCAAAATAAAGAAAGACAAAGGAACAGCCAAGGAGGTGACTCAAGTTGGTAATTATTTAGACTAAACTGACCAAGACAGAAGGAAGAAACTGCATATGCATCAGTAGCATCACAAAAAAGCAAGATCTGCTGTAAATAAATGTGTTCATGAACCATTGCTGCAGCATTCAAAGTTCATTTCCCTCAAGCATTCCTCCAGCTATGTCAGTTAGAATGAACACCCAGGCCAAACTGCTATTTTCCAACACAGAAATAACTCAGATGTGTGACAAAAAAAACTGTGATGCAGATAATTTCATTTTTCTCTGAGTCTCTTTTTTTTCTGCCAACTGAATAGGAATTTTTGAGGTTTTGTTCCAAGATCAGTATCAACAGCATGTGCAAAGTACATGTAAACACTTGCTGAGTTGCTCTTCATAGCTCCCTAAAACTCCTGTGGCTGTTAAATGCAGTGTATTTGTATTGTTGAGCATTCCACCTGTATTGCTGAAATGACAGAAAATTCCCTGGTACTCCCAGTGACAGGACAAACCTGGGACATGGGGACAGTCACACACCTGGAAAACGAGGTACATATGATATACTGTTTGTTTATTAACACTGAGACTTCAGTGTTTCTTGAGAGTTTTACACAAGAATGAAACCAACAGAAGTGGGATCACTTGCAGCAGGGAATGAAGTGTATGAAGCTGTACTACAGCCAACAGGAAGGATAAATTTGGGATATTTTATGAGCAGGAAAGAATTACTTCAAAACTACTGTACTGGAAAGCTAAGGACTGTGAGTTACCTCCAAGTGCTCTATTCTTTCTTGTACAAAAACAGGTGCTTGATTTAATTTGGTTAAAAGAGCCAGGACAGGATCCCTGTGACAGCCTTTACCCATTCTCCTCACCACCTGCCCTTCACTTGGAGGATCATAATCCTAGAACAAAGAAACAAACACAAAAATCCACATATTACATGCTCCAAAACTGGTTTTTGGTATGAATTTGAATCATTCTTGCTTTAGTTCACAACTAAGCTTTTTTTAACAGTAAGTTTCCACACTGAAAAATTATGTAATGAAAATTCAAGCATTTAAAAATAAGCAAACAGATGACACACTGTTTTCTTTTACCCACAGACATGCACATTCCTTATTTGATACAAAAGACTGCAATACTTAAAGAGGAACAAGGCCCTTCAGGCCTCCAAAGATCAGGCAAACAGTTAAATCCTCACACATCCTTTGCTAGCAACAATCTGGCTGCAGAGCTGCTCTCACCAGCAAGGAATTGCCTTCCTCAACCAAACAGCCTGGATTGAGGATGGAGAAATACTAGAAGGAGGAGAAATACTAGAAAGAGTTCCAATCCAGCTGACAAAGAGAGGGAAGAACATCTCAGCAGGCAAGTGTTCCTTTGATGAAGAGAACTTTAATTTAGGTTCATCTGTTATCAGAGTTTTAAGCCCAGAGTTTAGGGGAGAAGTGTGGCTGACAGAGGAGGCACCTGAAGTTCTGAGTCCAGGGCAGTCTCACAACTGTGGGGGATGCTTTGCTTTGGGGGGGTTCTGTGCAGAGCCAGGAGCTGGAACTTGGTCATTCCTGTGGGTCCCTTCCAGCTGAGGATGTTCTCTGATGCTATGACTGGAATGGAATCATGGATGCTCATGGGCAGCTCTGGGTAGGAAGGACAGGCCAGGAGAAGGGGACTCCTGCTCCAGAACATTAAACTTGCCTTGTGGAGCTTGGAAGTGACCTCTGGAGGATGTCTAGCCCAGCCCAGCTGCCCAAGGCAGCCCTTGGGCCACTCCACAGTAAAAACATCTTTAATGTTTAAACCAAATTTCCTGAATTCAATCCTGTGTCCACTGCCTCTTGTTTCTCACTGGCTCATTCCTCATTACTTCTTTTCACCACGTATTTATACATTGGTAAGGTCCCTTCAGAGCTTTCTCTTCTCCATCATGTCTCCTATAATTTATGTCACAGCTACATCTTACCAAGAGGTTTTACACAAAGTCAGAGAGGGAAAGTCCAGGCATTTGAGGAATAGCAAAAGAGAAAGGGAATGGAGAATATCTTGACTTGGGAGGCTTCCAGAACCATGGACTACAGCAGACATTGGATAAGAAACTATTCTGATTTTTTAAGCAGCTTTAACTAACTCCAGCCTCAGCTAACCCACTTTAATAATTTAATCATGCAAGCAATTAAAAGATGGCTCAAAGCTGCAACAGCTCAGAGCACAGCAATGTTCTATTCTGTTTAAAATGCCTTAAAACTAGAAACAATAAAGAAATGAAAGTGCATAATATCTATCTTTCACCTACAGAAGTGTATAAATTATCCAACTTTTAAAAATCATGAATTAGTTTGTACACGGTGGGTTTTTTTTTTCCTTTGGTGTTCTGAAATTCTAACACTCCTTGTGAGTATGCATTTTAAAAGTGTGAATTAAAAAAGCTGATGAGTGAAAATGTTTAAAGCAGATCCAATTCAGCAGGATGCCCAAGGTGGAACCCACATTATCTGTGATTCTTTATGAAAGAGCTCCTTACCATTTCATTGGCATCTCGGAGAGTACTGGATAAGCTCTCAGCAAGGTTTGGAAAAGATAATCCTCCTTCTGCTAAGGCTGAAAAATATTTTATGTTACAACTATTAAAAACATTCAAGTTACATGACAGGAAACCCAAGCCACATTCTTTAAGTGCAACAACATTCTTTAAGTGCAACACTGTGCTTTAGTAGATTTGGAAATTCCTACTGCTGGATGTCTATTATGAAGACATATTTTCATATTTCTTTTCCTATTTCTTACACTTTCACAATAAATAAAACATGTAGTAGTACCACATGGTACTTAAGCAAGAACAAGTCCCAATTATTTTCCAAGTTGATCTCATGACAAAAGAGCAGATTGAATCTTTTTTCTTTAATAAACAGCAGCATTTTGTTCAGCGACGGGAAAAAGAACAACAAGGCCTTGTTAATCTTCACAAACCACAAGTTAATGCTTGCAGCTTTATAAGAATAAGAAGTAATTCAAATTCTGATTTCCACAGTTGGTTACCTGCTGCAGGCAGTGGCTGTCCATAGGGGAAGAGCACCTCTCCTTCTGAGAGGGGTCTGTCCGTGGTCTCAGTGCCTGTGGGGGTGAGGCTGCTCTCCTGGGTGGACACCCCCGAGCTCACCGTGGGCACAGGTGATGGCACCTGGGCAGGGCAGGGCAGGGGCTCACAGAGCCTCCCTGGCAGCTGCTGAGATGGGAAAACCAAGGCCTCTGGCTCCTCATCGTTGGCCACTGACATCTCCCTGCAATGACAGAACGCGCACTGTGAATACAACAAGACACACTCAGTGCAGACCAACACCTGAATTCTATACTGAAAAGAATTAATTCTAGTTCTTTACTGAAAAGAACTAATTCTGAAAAGAAACTGATTTTGAACTATTTTTTCTAACGTGAGAGCAAAGCATTTTACAGGATAGTTCAACAGTTAACATGGTTAAATAATGTTATCTGTGAGTTTCTGGTTGTAACTAAAAATTACCATGTGTATTCCCAAGGAGGTAACACAAAAATTTAAATGCTAATAACACAATATTTCATTTTCACTCTATGTGTTACTGGCAGGTGTAGCAATACGAGTTTACTAAGTACAGTGTTCAGCAGGGTAATGAATAAGGGCTGATAAATCCTGAGAAAGGCCCTGATTTCGTATTTTTCTCTAAACTGCCCTTCAAGCAATGAAAAAAATGAAAACCCAATCCTGCCTTATCTCAAATGCCTCCTGACGTATACATTAAGCATTTCTTTCTGACTTTTTGAGCATATCTGTAGAAAGAATATACATATTTCAGTTTTTAAGAAACAAGAAAATTGTGCAGCCTGTTGAACTCACACAGTCTTAGGACAGAATGGTTCTTCAGGGACAGGACTGGGGTTCTCTTCTTCCAGAGGAAGTTCTGCACCATCCCACGGGTTTGGAAGCTTTGGACTTTCCCTTTTTTCAGCCTGGGAATCCCATTCTGAGACAGGAGGGCTCGGTGTGGCTACTGGGGGAGGTGTGGTGACAGGGGTGACCACAGGGGTGACCACAGGGGTGACAACACGGCCCAGGACAGCTGCAATCTCAACTCCTGCACGTGGGAAGCCAAATTTCAGATCAGAAAGGAAAGCAGGAAGTGTATCTCAGACAGAGAGAGTCAGTTCTACCAAGCACTTGCAGTTTTTGTGATACCTTTTGATAGTTATAAAGACTAGATTAAGAATTGCTTCTTTTAAGTACAGTGCTGGCACCTGAAGAAGACAGAATAAAACCTCAATTTCTTCCTCAAGGGAGACTGCTCTGCATTTTAAAAAATCAAGTTGCTTTACTTGAAGAGTGTACATTTGATTAAATTAACATTACAAGCACAGGAAGGAGCAAAAGACAGCTATTTTTCTGATGTGAGAAATTGTGGAGGGGTTGGGAGGGGTGGAAATCACACAGACCATAGAAATGTGCATTAATTTTGAAAATAGAACTGTTACCAAATAAAAGATGTTTGCTTTCTATATAAATTAGCCCATAAATTTTTGTAGAACATGAGTTGCCACTTGAATTATAGCCTCAAGAATATTTATCTTGAGAGATAACATTTCTTTGAAGAAGAAAATTAAAGGCAGTAGATTAAAGCATATTTGCTACTTCTAAACTTCAATTATTATTTTCAATACCTGTTTCTTTAATTTTTTCATGTCCATGAACATCCTCACTCATCTCTGGAGGAGATGGAGATGAATCTGGAGTTTTCACCTGAGGCAGTTCTTTTTCTGAAGGTGGTGTTGGTGGTGGTGTGGCCTGGGGTGTTGGCACTGGAGTAGGCACAGGAGCCTCCTGAGGGGAAGAAAAATCATAACCACAGTTATAATCTCTGTGCAGAATTCCTGCCTTCCCAGGAGCCCCAGAGAGAGCTGAGGAAGAGAGGGAAAGGCAGCTCATCACACAACAGCAACAGCTGCTGCTTCCATGGATCGAACTCCTCTAGGAAGCTGCACCAGGACAAAATTAATTAAAAGCAGTGAATTAAGCATTAAAATTATTAAATTGGGAAATCATTATGTATAGAACAGAACAGACTATTTCAGCTGGAAGGGAACTACAGTCATCATCCAGTCCAACTGCCTGACCAATTCAGGGCTGATCAAAAACTGGAATTTGTTGTTAAAGGCATTGTCCAAATGCCCCTGAAATACTGACAGGTTTGGGATACCAACTGTTAGAACCCTGGATGCTGAGAATTTTAAACTTCCTGTGCTAAAAGGCACAGACCCACAAGAGAATACTGTATTTGACCTGAAGCCATGGAGAAAGCTTCCAAAATTGATTGATAGCACTGGGATTATGGGTGTGTAGTTTGAATAAAAGTGTGTAATATCACAAGGTAGAAAACTTAAAGTTTTAGAATATAGCAATACATAAAAAGCAAGATAGAAGTTTTAAGACAGTGGCTAGTTGTTCTTCTCCACCTTCTTCATGGGTTTGGGTACTATTTTGTAATTAGTTAGAAAAGCCTGCATTGCAGACTCCAGGTGGTAAGTTATTGAGTTAAAGGTGAAAATAATTTAGGTGTCATTTCTTAATTAGATAGTTTAGCCTTAAAAGACCTTATAAAAAAAGATAGTTAGCCATTTTGTAGCTTGTTAGTAGAATGCTGTAGAACTCACAACTTGTAAGACTGATATAGATAAGAAATAATAAATACTTGAGTCTGAGCACAAAATATCATCTTGAGCGCTTTCAATCCCAACCTTAACAGAGGTAAAAAAACCCCAAAAACCAACATTTAATGGTACCAACCACCTCTCCAGGAAGGCTATCCCATGTTTAACCACTCTCTTGGTAAATAAATGCTTCCTAATCTCCAGTCTAAATATGAATTCCATTATTATATGTATTTTAATAAAGCATTTGAGATAATGTTAAGGAAGAAAATATTTCATTACATGGATAAAACTGAGTCAGTATGATGATTTTATGGTAAGATGAATCAGCTGAAAGAAAATCACAAACAAAGCAATAATCAAGACAGCAAAGCACTAAAAGAAGCACGAACAGAATTAGGGTGTTCCTTAAAAAGATGACAGCAATGGACATAAATCTGACAAGCAAATATGATGGCTGTTGTTTGGCCTGCTGTGGGGGAATATGCTGGACCTTTGTAGGTTTTTCCCAGACATGTTTTATGACATTTCATGAAGAAAGCAAGGCAGTGAGGCTATAGGAAGACTTCCAGGCTAGTTTCTGAAGAGTATGTCCTCAGGCTGATGATTTTTATTAAAATTTCTCATGGGAGGTGGAACCTAGAGGAACATCTGGCAGCTCACACCCAACTGTGTGACATCCTGAACACCAAAGAACTCAGTAACAGCTGAAATTCAGTTCTAGATAGGAAAATTCACAGTGGGAAGGGAGAAATCAAGAATGGATAAACTAATCAAGAATGCACAAACTACATATTCAAGAACTTCTGCCATAAGCTGAGTACAAATAGAAAAAGAAGAATTCAAAAATTTTTCTAGCTATCCTTTAACTTGTGCTATCATGCTAAAAAATGTGGAAAGACTTTAAAAAACATAATTAGCTACCTAGGATTCCAATAAAGGCAGGAGAGAATCACTACTACAGCTCAGGGCATTGAGGAAACCCCATCTTGGAGACCACATTATTATTAAAAATGTTTATTAGCATTTTAGTATTAGCTGTGCTTGAAACCAATCTAAACTGGAAAACATCAAAGTGCTGCCCAACAGCAAGAGTAAAAAAATTGATGCTTTCTTTAGGCTAATCAAAAAAGGCCAAAGAGGAGAGAACTCATCTCTTCAAGTGCACAAACATATATAGCAAGGAAAACCCAACCACTTCAGCTAAAGGATATTTCAGTTTAAGCTGACAGAGAAACAAAAGGGAGATCAGGAAATGTAGAATGGACAACAGAAGAGGTTTCTGAGCATCAGAAGAACAAGCTGAGATGAACATCAGGCCCTTCTCAAGCTCTAATGGAGTGGAAAAGATGCTGGGGGCTGAGCTTGAGCCCTCAGCAGCGAAACCTTTACTTTTGCCTATAGAATCACCTCTGTCCCTTGCAGCAGGCAGGAGGAGATGTTTCAGGCTAACTGCACTGCAGCAGAACAGAATGACTGATCCCACTTTCAACAAAGCCTTCCATAGCTGGATTTCCAAGCACAGCAATTTCCAAAAGCATCCCAAAGACATTACACAGCACCAGATTGCAGCACAGTCATGTTGTTATCAAAGTAAGAGCCAGCTGTCATTTGATTATCAAAGGGAACACAGGAAATTATCCTGTATTACAGGAAGCTCTACTCATCAATTAAGCATTTATTCAAAACTACTGAAGTCAAAACTTAGAAAGAATTAACAGTCATTTTAACAGATCTTAAAGAATGGCTGCAAGCTCATAAGACCAAAAATAATATTGCTCTCAGCTTCCATTCCTTATTAGATGAGGAAATTAATTTTTTCATCTCACATTTGTTTGCAAGAAAGCAGAATAACTATTTTTGGTTGAAAATAACACTATCTTTCAACAATATGAAATTAGGCAGCAAGTCCAGCAGAACTTCAGCAGAAAAACTTGAATAAAACAGACTTACCATCACTGAGGTGGTGCTGGGAGGAGGAGGAGGATCAGGAACTGCTCTCTGAGCCTGGCTGTTACCCAGCATGGTTGCAATGGTTTCACTGAGAGCTTCCTTCACAAAATGATTTATCATTTCTGAGTCCACAGGGACACCAGCATTGACAAAGAGCTGGAATCCTCCACCACCTGCAACTTCAACTGAAAATGAAGGGATGTGAAGCACACAGCCAGGTCTCACTTCCTAAAATCCTTGTACTGTACTGCAGCCACTCTCTATGGAATTTTACACATTCCTTTGCAAAAAGTCTTTTTTTTTTAACCTTCCAGATAAACAACAGCAGAGAAACAAATCAGGAGCATAAAAGAAGGCAATAGCAAAGGGCAGTGACATCACAGGAGAAATGCTTTTCTCTCCATTGCCACACATTCATTCACACATTCAAAGAGAAGTAACTTTTGACACATCTATTAAAAAAAGGCAAACAAACATTACAGGCTCAGCAAATTGCCAAATGTGATTTAGGTGGCCAGTAACAGAAGGTGATTTGTACAGTGCTGTTATTCTGAGTCTGCTTTTTATTTTAGATAATTTCTTTCAATGGCCTTGTTACACTGGCTCTGCCTCCACATAAATTCAAGTGTGCACTGCAGCTTTTCAGTTTCACTGGTTCAGGATTATCCACCTTTAGGCTGAGGCAACAGCTACCTGCACAGCTTGTTAAAATTAGTCAAAAATTGAGATAATCCATCTGCAGAGAACAATAATTCCTACTTACCAATGCCAGGGGTTCCAACCTCACTGTCTTCACTCTTCATGGAGCTGCTAGTGCTGGGCACTGTTTCTGTCTGAGCTGGGCACATCTCACTGATAATTTTTGCCATTATTTCTTGTTCCACCCTGGCAGAATAAAACCCATTTAAGTATCAGCAAACACCAAGACACCTAAAAGCTCACAAAAGAGCACTCTTGACATAAAATGCAAGGCAGCTCAAAGGAAAATGGATAAGGGAATGGAGGTGAGAAAAAGGGGAAGGTTAATTAGGGAATCATTCCTTCTTCCATATGTATTCTTTGCCACTTTGTTAAACTGCAACTCACCAATTTACCAACTTGTCTTCTATAGTTTCTCTCTTTTGAATCAGTTCATCCAAAATATCAGCAGGCTGCTGAGGAGCAGAAGCCACTGGAGGAAACAAAGGACCATTGTGCTGTGGTGAGGCAACTTTAAACTGGCCATTAAGTTCCAGAACAGGCTCAAGGAATTCTGGAATTTCATCCTTCTCCTCTTCCTGATCCTAATAAATAAGCAGTAAATTAAGTTATGGTACATTTCTGGAAGGCAATGTCATTGAGGTAGCTGTCAGGTTTTTTTCTTTAAGAAACATTTGTGGATGTGGGACAGCACACAAACCACATTCTCCTTCCTCAGTGTGTTGTAGTTAATTGATACAACTCTAAGCTTAGCAAATCATAAATCTGTAGAGGTATAAAGCCATAGGAACTGCTCAGTAAAACATGATTTGGCTCATATTTCCTGCCTGTGCTGCACAGGGCAGGGAGCCAGTGGCAATGCTAATACTTGAAAAATTTACTTGTGACCTACGTCAGGTTTCTTTAATGTCACCCCAGAAACGTTCCTCCTCTAAACAAAAATCTTTAGGAAACATTCTGCAGATACGTGTTAGGTTAGGGGTTTGTTTGTTTGGGTTGGGTTTTGGTGTTTTGGTTGTTTTTCTTAAAATAAATCAAACTTGTTCTTTAAAGTCTCCAGTCTGAAAAGACAAATTCACAAAAGTTAACGAGCATGCAGTCAATCAAAACTCTAATGAACTTGCCAGCACTGAAAACCAGACATTAATAGTTTACACATATGTCACACGTGTGTTTACACTCCCATTAACTTCAGCTGCTGAAAGCTGGAAGGTATTTCTGGGCAGTACAGACAACCCTCACAGATGTCTTGATTTTAATGTTAAAGTTCCATTCCCAAAAAGTTAGAGAAGTGACTTGGTGAGTTAAAATATTTGGATTTTCCCAAAGATGCCTCCCTCCTTTTCCCCTGGAGTACAAACACAAGCCCCAAAAAGCAGCCACTAAGCCATCATACTGTAATGCCTCCTGATGAATGAGAACCTGCAACCTCCACTTCTAATATTAAAAACAAATGTCTCTAATAGTAATATGACTCTCTAAGAAGAAAATTTGGCATGCCAAATGAAAGAGATGAGGAGCTGAGCCCTGATTTACCAGTGACAAATATGTGATGGTGCATAAAAGCTCACTGTAAATCCATATTTACTAAGATTAATCTCAACACAGTGAAAGGAGGAAAAAAGTCTCCTTTTCCCTTATATAAATTACACTTACTTTCAACCCATAAAATAAGAAGATCCCATGCAATATATTATTTATGAAAAAAAAGTGAAAAATGAAAAGAAAAAAGTGAAAAGAGAAAGAACAGAGAAAGGGGGGGGGGAAAGTAATTCTCCTGTCTCCTTCCTCACCTCAGCATTAACACTTCTCCTGCCTTAACACATTTTAAAACTGCAGAGTCAGAGAGGTCCCTGATGGGTATTACACAAAGAACTACTGGGTCTTCCTGGATCTTTAAATAGTGATAATCTTCAAAGCAGGGAGAAAACCAGAATATGTGTATTTGGGTGATAAACCAAGATTTTTAAAGCATTCTAGGCATAGAAATGAGCAGAGAAGTTGAAGTCAGAAGGCCCTGGGTGCCTTGCAAGCTGCTCAGCAGTTCATGCTGTTGGGATATGTGTATTGAGAACAGTAATTCATTCTGACAGCAAATGTAAAGATGTCTTTGTCCAGCATTTCATTATGTATTTCCCTCTGCCTGCATACTCCATAAATTTTCTTTGATGTTGCCTATTTAATACCTCTGAAAGTATGCAAAATACAAACATCTGGATTAAATAAAGCAAGTACATACAATACATCTTACATCTATTTAGTTACTCTGACAAACTTTTGCAGCTCTCCTGCATTTCTAAAATATTTTATATTTTATAGCACACAAATCCATAATAATGCACAAAATCATATTCATTTGGGGGTTATATATTATCTCTGCTGAAACAAAAAAATAATGTATTAGTCAGTATTTAATTATACAGATTGAACTTGAACATATATCAATTTGTAGACCAATCTTGAATACTCTGCACTCAATTCTGCATTTTGCTTCCCTGGGGACTGCTGAAAATATCTATCACAACCCCCAATCAAAATATGGCATAAATTAGAAAGTCTTTCAGATATGATTGGAATATTAATCACTGTATTTTATTATAAAGTATCACGCCAAAATTCTATTTCCCAAATTACATTCAGATAATTAAAAAAAAAGTTTGAAATTATTAGATGTTACAGATTAGTTTTGTTCCATTACCAAACATGTACATTCAGAGTCTTGTTAAAGACTCCTGAAACTTAAGCCATGGATTTTTTCTTGAAGGATTTCTAAAGCAATTCTCAGGAGCAAGGTCAGGCTGCATTGCAGGTGTCACCTGTGAGCTTTTGTCTGAAGAGTGAAATGTAAAAATATCAATGCCCTGCCCAAGAGCATCAATGGGAAATGAGAGTTGAAGAAAATACATTTACATTTATAATACCTGAGCTCTGCAGGTTCCATATTTTGCTGTGGCATTCAAAGTGGAAGCAAAAATTCTAACAAAAAATCCCCTACCTTGCAATTAGAGCATATTCAGAGAGAGCAGAAAGTGCATTTACTCTGAAATCCCAGGGAGTTTGCTGAAGGAACTGCAGGATGTGGCTGCTTGTAAGAATTTGAGAGCAGACTCAATAAATCTGAGAGTCAGTCGTGTGAGCTGAGCAAGTTTCTCACTCTGAAATAATCCCAGAATGGTTTGGGTGGGAAAGGACCTTTTGGGACAAGACCATTTTGTCCCAAACCCCTGCCATGGGCAGGGACACTTCCACCAGACCAGGCTGCCCCAAGCCCTGTCCAACCTGGCCTGGAGCACTGCCAGGGAAAACAAACACAGAAAAAGGAAACAGAAACAAACAAAAAAGGAAGATATTTCACACAAATACTTATCCTACTCAGTCCTAACAGAATTAAGCTTTCATAATAAAAAGGGAGTGGGGGGAAGACAATAAAAGCTATTTTTTTGTATAGCATTTTATGCACATACTTTCATGAATCTGAAGACTTTTATAACAATAACTTTGCTTTCTTTTGATGTCTTAAATACCCCTGCCACTCCAGAGACTGATTTTATGCTCCCCCATTGTGTTTGCCTTGCACATTTTTAAGAACATTGTCTGTGTGGTCATAGGCCAAACATATGTTTCACTTGGAACATTTTTGGTATTGTGGTTAAAATATAGCCCATTGCCAAAACTAAAAGATAAAAGCAATCCAGGGAAAAAAAAAAAAAAAAGAAAAAGAAAAAATAGAAGATGAGTAACTATTATTCACATAATAAAAATTTAACATTGCAGCATTTTTTGATAGTTCCTAAAATGATTTTTTAAAGTTTTTTTCTGGTGCTAACAAAAGAACAATGTCCACAGAGATTTAACTCCTCCCCTCCAGTAACATAAGGTATTTTTGAAACTATAAATGAATAAAGGATTTACACACTTTTGATAGACAAACCATCAAATTAGGGCTGTTTTAATGAACTGATAATGTTAAATGATTAACTCATTCTAAAAATACATCTATCTGTAAGCACTTGGGCTAATATTTGATTTACACTCTAATCCTGGGATCAGGAGCACATAGAAGTAAAAAGAATAAATTTTGGGGTAAATTTTGATTACACACAGGGAGTTTTGTTCAGTAAAGTGAAATACAGGCTGGTTTACCAACCTTGTGTTTCTCAGGACCCCCCAGACAAGAGGTCAACTAATCAGAGAAAGGATTTGCTACTTAAAAAAACCTGTGAAAGAGGATCTCAAATAAACTTGTGTTACCATAAACCAGAAACAACAACATTGTCAGGAATTTCTTCTTAAGATCTAATTCTAACCCTGCTCTCTGTGAGTTTGAAGCCATTCCCCCTTGTCCTCTTACTCCAGGCCCTTGTCCCAAGTCCCTCTCCAGCTCTCCTGGAGCCCCTTTGGGTGCTCCAAGGTCTCTCCAGAACCTTCTCTTCTCCAGGATGAAGAACCCCAGCTCTCTCAGCCTGTCACTATATTTATCACATGCAGAGTTTTAAATTGTAAAGGCTAAGTGCTATAATCACTGCTGATTTTGGAGAAATACTTGTATTTCTAGTGGATTCTAACATATCCAAATAAAAGCTAATTTTAGCTTTTTACTCTAATTTTTCAAAAGCTTGTCTACTCACCAACACACAGTAATTTCTAATTTCCTCTATAACACTTTAAACAGTTCAGTATTGGTCACAAAGTGCATTTTTAAAGCTGCTAGGAAAGCAAACTAGTTTCTTTACACTGTGTTTCCAGTTTTGACAGAATAATATAAAACAAATATAAAAATTATTGAAAGGAAAAGACACCTTTGCAATGGGATTACCTGTGTGACATCAGTAACATCAATGAAGTTAGCTCCTGGAAGCTTTGTGTCTTCCTCTTCACTGTGTATTTCTTCTGGATTCTTAAAACACAGATTGCAGTTGTTAGCTATTTCATCTTGGGGGGTGGAAATACATTACCAGGAAACCTTCATGACAAGAATCAACTAAATCACACCTTCCACTATGCCAGGGTGCTCCAAGCCCTGTCCAACCCGGCCTGGAATACTTCCAGGGATGGGGCAGCCACAGCTTCTCTGGGCACCCTGTGCCAGGGCCTCACCACCCTCACAACCAAAGATTTCTTCCCAATATCCCATTTAAACCTACTCTCTGTCAGTCTGATACCATTCCTCCTTGTCCTTACTCCTGTAAATAGTCTCTCTCTTTCTTGTAGGGTCCCTTCAGGGGAATCCCAATTCTCTCAGCCTTTTCTCACAGAAGAGGAGCTCCATCTCTCTCATCAACTTGCTGGGATGGAGTGATAGAATTTTAAATACAAATCACTATTTTTGTCCACAATCTCTGTCTGATTCAGTGAATACCTGGATCACACGACTCTGGAGGACCTAACTCTTGGAGTCAGGAAAATGGAATGCACAATAACCACACAAAAATCATAATTGCCTCACCAAGCCTTCACACACTCTGTCCTTAGCACTCAGCACACAGCAGTTACCCCTAGGGCTGCACAAAACCTTCCTTGCTGCTCAGATCGAGATTAAAAACACTTCTGAAAAGTTGCAGGGAAAGAGAATAGAGTGGCCACTGCAAGACCACAGGCTCCTGGCTCAGTGCCCACACCATGGACCACTCCAGAAGAGCCAAGCAGCAGAGGGAGGGATGAGGAACATCCTCAGAGCACTGAAGCCAGTGAAAACAAGCCAGGCATGGGCCAGCAGGGATTATAATTCTTTACAGGACACAGGAACACTGTTTTTCTTAGAGTTTTACCACGGTGATCATTTAATCTTGGCAGAAGAGCTTCTTTCTACAATTTTTCATTTTCTTAAACAAATACCTTGTACTAGAAATTCTTTAGAGTAATTACTCCATTTTTCCTAGAACTGTCTCATTTCTCTAACTAAAGAAAGACAATGAGAACTTTGCAGCAATTTAACATATTTTCCTTTTGAGTAATTTTGAATTCCCAGACAATCAGTACCTGTATTACAGCATTGACAGGAGAGAACAGAGGCTCAGAGCTTGGAGGAACAGGACTTACAGTCCCACTGGCACTTGAAACACTGTCAATATCAACACTTGGTAACACCTAGGGCAGAAAAAAAAGCATCAATATAAAAATCTATATATTAGCTTGGCAATTATCATTGAACTTTTTAGATTTTTTTTCTTCCACCTGCTTCTGAGCCACTAAAATTCAATGATCTCCTTTTCTCATGCCTGTATCTGATATCAGCTTGGTTCTGAAAATCAAATTATTGTAATACAAACTAACACCAAAAATAGTCACCTCTTCTCTTGCAGTACCTGATTTCTCCTGTTCTCTAATTCCCTGACACTTTGTCTTGCATGGAACAGAAGGGGAGTGTATGTGCACTAATTACCTAAAACAGTCAGAGCAGAGGTGTGTTGGACCTGCAAGTAGTTTAGAAGATTAAAATATAGTTTCTAATCAAGGCATGTTAATTACAGCATTAAAATCTGTTGTATTTCTGTTAAGAACAAAGATTTCAATGCTTCATTCCTTTGGGAAAAGAAAAATCACCTTAAATATTTAAGAACTGGGTGAAATAACAGCAAAATGCAGGTGGGTGGGATGAAGTGACACAGCAAGGGAACAAAGCACAGAACACCCTCCCTGTGTTTAACTCTGAGTTCCATGAATCATTTGTCTGAAAGGTGTGGGGGGGAGTGGGTGCAGTCTCAACAATTGGAATCCAAAACAATGAACATGTAAGAAACATTTTCTTCCTTGACAGCAGACTCATGTGAAAAATGAAAACAACAAACCCCAACCCACAAGGTAAGGACTGCAAGGGTTGATTAATCAGGAGTGAAACCCTTGGGTTGACAATCATGCTTGAAACAGAAATCTTAAAGGCCAAAGCAATCATCCAAGAAAACTGACATTTATATTTATACTTCTTTTATTCCAAGTTTGTTCTGGCTCAAAAATGTCACTAAAAAAATAAAATGTGACACAAATTTTACAAACACCCTGCACAGGTGACTTAGGAAAGAAACAGTTTTCTATTTTGGCCAAATAATAAAGATAATTGTTAAAATATGAATAAATATATTACTATAGCATGAGAACTGCTTGGTCCCTCCATTCCATATTTTTCTAATTCTTATTGGAAACCATCTACTGATGTCCAAGTGTGTTCCTGATGGATCAGGCTGCCTGTGGTTAGCACTCATTAAAACAAACAAACAAATCATCATCACTCTTGACATGTACCTGCACAGAGAGCTGAGGTGGCTCCTTTTTCTCTGATCTCATCTCTATCACAGCTATATTTGGTTTTTTAACCTCGACTGGAGATTTTGGGGGCACTTGAGGAAGAGAGGTTGTAACTGTGACAGGGTGTGGTTTGTCTATGATTACTCCAGCAGGCTGCAATGATGTGTTGCTGCTTTGGGTTTGACCTAAAGACAGTTGAAAAACAATTAAAACTTCATATATCCATCTCCAAAGGCAGTAAATTAATAAATTAATCAAAATTAAATTCTGCGTGTTTCAAGATTCTGTGTGCAATTACAGACCAATTAAAAAGCCCCTTATTAACATTAGCTAAACTACAGTAATTCACCAGCTAATCTTAAGCTTTCCCAGCAGAAATTGTCAACTCAACACTACCTGTTTTTTAAATTATTCACTTTTCTGGACTCTGGTGACACCTACTGCTGAAAACAAGAATTGTGTTTGCCATTCAAAAACTATAGACCATCACACCCAAAGTATTATTACACTTGGTATAACAACCCACAAATTTTTGACTGAGACAGGCTTTTTAAAAAATAATTACCTTATTTCAATGCCTATATAATACTAACCTTCTCAAAACAAGCCCTATATAAAGGTTCTATTGAAAGTCCAAAAATCCTGAAGTCATGACAAGGAATTTACTGTGCTTGGCACAGTCCTACTGAAATTGTTGGGCTGAAGTCATTGCAAAAGTTGAATCCAAGGGTGAGTGATTCAGTTCCTGCTTTGGATACAAGACTGAAAGCAAAAACATGAAGCCTAAAACCAAAATGAACCAAATCAGGTACAGCTAAGCAGGTAATTGCTCTGTCAGGGTGTCACCAGACATCCAGCATGAAGGGTGAGGAAAACCAGAACATTTTCAACTGATCCCCCAGATTTCCTATGAGAAGGGCAGGTGCAAATCTCATGGAATGGTTTGGGTTGGAAGAGACCTTAGAGATCATCTAACCCCAACCCCCAAACCACTTCTTTTATCAAGAAGATAAAAGTTATATTTCCATATAACAGTGGATTAACCTGCTATTTCCATATAGCAGTGATTAACCTGCACACCATCTGCTCCAGGTTATTTGCTCCTACCTAGTGGAATAGCCATGGGCATGAGGTGGCCTTCCAGAGGACCAGAGGCAGCAGGGACATCCTGGCTGGGGCTGAAGAGGTACTGGCTCTGCTGGGCAGGGGCACACACAGGATTATTCTTCTTCTTCTTGGGGCTGCTGATGACCTTCTGCATGTGAGAGCAGGTCTGGGTCCTTGCTGACTTCACCTTTGTGCCTGAAACAAGAGCACACAAACTGTCAGGGTCACAAAGCATGCACAAACCCAGTGACAACACTCTACTGAGCCAAGCCTTCCTACTGAACTCACTGCACATTTTTGCTGTGGGATTGAGGGAAAGAGGGAGGGAGTCCCAAAGGGCAAAACCTGAAAGATGTCTCGTAATTGGCAGCAAGGAAGGAGTTAAAATTGCAATTTTTAAGTTGAATCCAGCAGATAAGGGCACAGAAACATGAAAAGGACCAAAGAACAGCAGTAAGTTGGAATGAAATGTGTGACTTAGCAGCTAAGAAGAAATCCATGACTTAGGTTTGAAATTTGGAACTGAATGTGTGATTTAGCAGCTAAAAAGAAATCCAGAATTTAGGTTTGAAATGCAGCCACAAAACTGACAGGTACTCAGAGGAACAGGTATAATCTGTAAATTCCTGCTTTAACTACTCAGTGCTACTGCAAAATCAAACCATAGCTAAAACTCAAAAGTCCTGACTTCTGTCATCAAGGAAATGCTGATTTTTTGGCCCAGCTTTTCAAGTGTACTGTAAATAGTCAGCCAGAAGTGTTTGGTATGTAAAAATGTCTTAAGCAAAGAGCAGAGGAGAGCATTTATTGCAATGTGCATTTCTTACCATACAGTCATGCAAGGTCTTACTCAACTTACAGCAAACAATGGATATTATTATAATAACTTTAATATAAATGGATAAAACTGCCTGAAAATTCTCCCCAAAAAGGTGTCAACAACTGTCGATCAGGCAGAAGTGCTTCTACTGTTATTTTGTAGGTGTAAGGGTAATGAATTTGGAAAGAAACATGCTGATAACCAACTCCATGCCTTTATTACAGCCAAAAAAATGTCATTTTACTCCTCTGTTGTTTCTAATAACCACCTCCCTGTACCTGCAGCCAGTTAACACGTGGCAACAAGCACTTTTAACTCTGTTCACATTTAAGAGCCTCCTAATTAATTGAAAAATGAAAGTCAATGATTATAAAATATAGGGATAATAAAGATTGATAACGTGACTTTTGTTAGATGCAGACAAGCAGATAAGGCAGTTCACTTATAAAGTGCTATTTTTGTACAGACAAATTATTGGTTGTAAGCCTGGAAACAAGAAGAAATCATAACTCCTCAGTGAGAAAACACAGGCCAGAGAGAAGCACCTCTAGAAAAGGGTTTGTGGTCATGCTGGGTAAGCAGTGGAATGAGAAATCACAACACAATGCTCTGGTCAACAGGATAAATGTAACCCACAGATGCCTCAGCAGAATGTCTGGGATGGAGCAGGAGAAGACTTCCAGAGATGATAACACTGCATTCAGCACTAATTCTGTATCTCTGCAAATACTAAAATAGATTAGACATTAATAGGCACTCTTCACTTTTCAAGGAAAAATCACCTGGAGAGTGAAGTAGCTGCAAACCAAAGCCAAACCTCACTACAAGTCAGATAATAAATCTCAAGTGTTCTATTTGCTTTTGAAGCACAAGGTATTTTGCTATGGGAAGAAGCAGAATTTCTTCCGTCTTTAAGTGATGAGCTTATGCCTTGCTGCAAAGCACAGGTTAGCCAAAAAAACTGCTCTGCAGTCAGACAAATGACTGGACTCTGTAACACAAATAGATACAGTTCAGAGGCTTGTGATTTAGAAGAGGTCATACTACATGATCTAACAGTCCCCCTTGGCCTTGAACTTTTGAGTAAAAGCAGAAATTGGCAGCATATCTGTAATGCTGCCAACTTGTAAAAACAAGGTTTTCTCGGTGAGAATGATTAAGTACTGTATACACACAGCACCTCATTTTAATTGCTTGCAACTTTTCATTTTTCCCTGCAAAGTTTATTTGCACTGGGCAGAAACTAGACATTTAATTAAACTTAGCTTTAAAAAAACAGTGTTTTACATGTATTTATCAGTTCATATTATGCAAGAAAATAATTCCAGTTTTTTTTTTAGAAATGATCTCTTACTCATAAAAGTGCTAGATGAATTTTTTTCCTAACTTCCCATAAGAAACTAAGCATTAGTCACCATAGTTTATTTGCAAAGAAAATGGTTGAGAGCTATAAAATGACTGAAAAGAGACTCTCCAGATGGCCATTTCAGTCTTAAATAAACATCCTTATTCTAACACTAATTTAAAACAAGCTCAGTGGACTGCTCTAACAAAATAGAGTCATTTAACGAGTCTGGATTTTTCAGCCAATCAAACCCAAGGCCAAAGATTTCCAATCATTTTGAAGCCTTTATCACCTGGTACATCAAGGCCAGGAAGGGAATCTGTGGGTGCAGATCTGTAAAGGAAAAAACTCACCATGCCTAACATGGAAGAGATTTGTTTATTTCCTTCTTTGTTTTTTTAAGAACCTGGTGCTTTGAAGTGGTCATTCAACCTTGGTGCATTCTATCTACACTCCTCCTATAGAGGAGCACAGAACTGTTCCTGATTTTATTATTTATATTTTGCTTTGCCATAACAGCTCTTCCAGAGCAGCAGCCCCCAAAATAATTGAACTGTTTGGTCTTCATGAGACCCACGTGAAACACCAGGGATTATTTTTCCATTTTATTGGCAAGGTAAGGAAAGGACAAAAATGAAGCAGTTTGACCAATAGTCTTACCAAGAGGCAAAGATAAATAATGCCAGTATCAAACAAACCTCATTCTCAGTTAAAATCAGAAAGTTTGGGAATGGGATACACCCACTGGAGTGCTGCTCCTTTACACAACATGCAAAGAATTCCATTTTTCCTTCAGATAAGAACACAAGGAGGTGTCTTATTTTATTTACTGTCAGGATAGAGACAAAACCATAACTTCCCATAACTCCAGCATGATATTAAATAGAGAAACAAATTTTATGGTGGCTTTACTGTTGCAAACACACGTTCTTCTCTGCAGCATGACTTCATGGCTTGGAAGGGAACCACTCTGGGAAAAGGCTATCCAGAGTTCACTCTGTTTTCCAGCAAAGAGCTTTGAAGCTCTTTGTCACTCACAGGAGTTCTGCAAGATTGAAGGCAGCATTGATCCAGTGCAGTTTTCCCTTTCATTTCTATTTGCACCCAACAGAAAAAAGCTGAAGCACAGGAGCAGCTCATTCCAGCTGCACAGAACCTTTCATTTCACTGACACCACTGAATTTCAACTGATCAAATGATCTATTTGTTATAAGTAGACTGGGGGGGGGGCACTCTTTTTTGCCACTTTACAAGACATTGGTTCTGGAATGATGAAATTGGCCTTCCAGGAAAGGTTATGACCTTCTGTAAAGGACATGAGCCCAATAAATAGAGAAGAAAATTCATTTAGGACTCAGCAAAAGCAGAACTGCTGATTAAATATTTTTAAAGAAGTGCCTGTTCCCAATCCAAATCTTAGTGGTCACTGTGTCACTGTTATTACCACCCTAAGTGCTTACTAGCACACATTTCTTCCAAAAATATCTATACAGAATAAATTAAATTATGGGTGTACAGCACAGCCAATAGTCAAAACCAGTGTTATATCATGCTTCAAGTGAGTACAGCAGAGGATACACCTTTTTTCACCAAAGAAAAGACATCCAAGAGAGGGCAAACAAAATACCTAAGTCACAAGGCTGTCAGTTTTCATGTAACAAGGTCTCACTTTTTAAAAGATGGTGAGCTTTGAAAAGTTTTCTAGGTTTTTGCCAGGACTATAAGCCCCATTTTCCAGGAGGGTGCTGAGAATTGTGAATATTTTCTACCAGTAACACTTTTTCTTCACAGATCACAACTGCGTCCAGAGCACAAGTAAGGAAAAGTGCCATAAAGATCAGGTCAGGCCAAACAAGAGATTCTTGCACAATTTGAGGACTTGCCACTGTGGATGTACATCATAACCACAGAATCACAGAAGGGTTTGGGTTGAAGGAACCTTCAGGATTAAGGCAGTTCCAACCCCCTGCCATGGCCAACGACACCTTCCACTAAACCAGGTTGTTATTTAAATAGTATTTAAACAAACAAACAAATAAATTTAAAATACTAATACAAATATAATAATAATAATAATAATGATGAGGATGATGATGATGTTTAAAAATCCCCAGCCTCAAACCCCAGCACTGCCTGTCTTCAGAAACACAGATATGTTTTACACCATCCATTTCAATGGCCTAAAAATATGATTTCATCAAGTGACTGGCTGCCTTCTGATGTTAATCTCTCATATTTCACACAGAATGTAATGTTTTAACAGCTGTAATAAAAACCCAGGCAGCATTTTTAAACATGACATTTAAGACTGCATCAAGTATATTTTCCCTGCATGGGTAACAACAGTCTAAGTGCAAGAAGCATGCAGGGAGCCAGTTAATATTTTTCCATGGGTGCACATCTTATTAACTCCATTGTGCCCACCACACCTTATCCCCCTCTTCCTCTTAAGCCTCTCTCCCATCTCCACACTTTCCCTTCATCATTATCCTCTTTCATGTCATTTCTCCCCAGTAAAATGATCCACACTGTTTTTTTTTTAATACCAGTTCAAGATTGTTCTTAGTTTTTGCATTAAGAATCAGGTAAGTTTTGAAAAGGTAATTAAGAAATAAAACAGATCAGATTAATTACTAACTCTAGATGAAGTTTATCTACACTGACCTGTGTCAGATATCATATAGTCTCTCTTTGTAATTATTCTTACACATTTTTAATAGGTTAGAAAATTAGGACCCTCTTATCCTAACACTTTGCCAACAAAACTAAGGAACAGAATTAACTATTAATCAACTAATAACCTTTATCAATTAAATAACCTTAACAAGCTATCACAGAAAGGATTTCTGCTCTGCTTATAACTCTTAACTGGATGAAGAAAAAGGAATTACTTGCACTTAGTGAACTTAACCAATGATTCTGATTACATCTTTCACTATTTTTATCTTCCATATATTTAAATTTTCATCTTTCAATTGATGCATTTGAAACAAGAAATTCAGTATCAGACTTTCTTCAGTTTTGAAGTCTCAGTACATTTCTGAACTCTGAATGAGTTAAATATTTAAATAAAAAATCACTGGATAAACATGACACAAAAAATACATCTCATTTATCAAAAACTGAGTTCATTTATCAACACACTCACTTGTGATTAATTTTAGCAATTCATCTCATTAAATCTTGGACAACATTAAACATAAATACATTAATCAAATTTAGGAATAAGTACTTATTTGACAATCTAAAATAAATGAGAGACACATTAAGCAAAGTTAAAAAACTTCTGATATTTTTTAGTTTTGAAAAGAGGATCTTAAATAGAAATAAACTATTTCACATGGACAGGACTTACAACAACAATCTAGTCCAACTGCCTGACCACTTCAGGGCTGACCAAAAGTTAAATTAAAGGCATTTTCCAAATGCCTCTTAAGCCCTGACCAACCTGAGGCAGTGACCACCTCTCTGAAAAGCCACTGCAGTTGCTTAAGCTTTATATTAAAGAGCAGATAAACCAAAATTAACAGATTCATTTCCACAAGGAATTCCTGATAGAAAAACAGGGAAGGAACACCTTGTTCCCATTAAAGAATCACTTACCTCTAACAGTTTCTATCAGCTTGGGTCTGGGAAGTTTAGATTTGGGAGAGGGAGAGTTGAATCTCAGGTAGGGTCCTTTTTTAAGCGTGCTCCGGTGGCCATGGTAAATGGGTTTCCCATAAACTCGAGACAGATAATCTTCACTTTGGACCAGTGCATTTCCACCTACAGCTCCCTCCTGGACACCAAAAAGGATAAAAAAAAGTAGTTTACAATTCTTCATTTATGTAAATTGGAGCAGGACAGAGCTATCTCTTTCATTTGGAATTAGTACACCTGCACACACCATTTTTCATGTCAATACTGAACAGTTTTTTCCCAGAAAAGGAACCAACTACTTGGCAACTCACATCTGCCTTTCCTTCTTTGCTCTGCACATTTTCAGAAAGGAAAGTTCTAAACTTCTGTTTCTTTGTGTTATCTTCCACCTGCTTCTGCAATGGCTGAGCTGGAGGTGAAGGCTTTTTTGTCAAGCCTCCTTGGATGTTTTGGGTTTTCTCTTTAGTTTCTTTCTTGGTCTTCACAGCCCTGAGGTTTTGGGCTCTCTTGTTCCATGGGGCTTTTTGATCACATTTCCCTTGTTCTGAATCACTTGTCATTTCAGCCTAAATAGAAAGCATAAATATAATAAATGGAGATTTTTGTCTTCAAGGCTATCAGCAGAGTGTGTGGATAACTTTGAAGCTCTGAGAAAGGGCCTGTTTTTCATGTTAGCCATCAAGTGAGACCAGGGATTTTCATTACACAACCACAGTTTTAAAACAGAGGTAAATATTTTATTTATTATGTATTTATTCATTATTTTTATTTATTTATTTATTTGTTATATTTATTTTACTATAGTTTACTGCATGCCAGCAACAATAGGCAGCTTTCTCATGTTTTCAAGAGATGAGTAAATCACTTTACTGTGGACATGAAAGAACAAGGTAAGGTGGAAAAACCAAGCACAAAAATCTGAACTCATTTTCCCAGCCCTACCTGGATTTCCTCACTGATTGTCTTGATCCAGTCATCCACAGTCCTTCGGATACGAATCTCTTCCAGGACATCTCTGAAACAGAAAAAAGAACCATTTTCAGTCAATGCTTCTCAAATTGCACAGATTTGTTCCTGGGAAAGCAGTCACCTTTAAATGCTCTAAAAGCAGAAGTTCAGAACACAGACAGGGAGATTCTGCACCTCTACACTCCCCAAAAGGCACCAGCCCCAACCCCAAATCTCTTCTTGCATGGTGCCACCTGCAAACCCCACTCCCTGCTGGTAAATACTGACATTATTATAAATTTTCTAGGAATAAGAGGCAGCCATGTGTCACTTTCTACTTTGATCACAACTGAAAGAACCATAAAACAAAAAAGCAGGTGACAAATTACTACATCCTCTAAAAGATAATGAGGGCAGGTAACATGACTCAAAAAAAAAACCCTTACACATAGAGAATATTTACCTTCCTCAGGAAAATGCAAGTTTAGATTGTATTTTAATAGAAAATTTCCATTATGATTCAAGCAGGAGTATTTAACACAACTAACAAAGCAAAAGTTTAAAAGCCAAAGATCTGTTGTGAGGTGATTAAATTCTGTAAATTTACAGGCTTATGAAGCCTCTTCTGCTCTGAATAATTAAATTAGGCTTCAATTTTCTTTTTAATGCAGGCTGGTAAGAAAACAGTTAAATGTCCTGGCAGCAGAGCAGTTTGTCCAGCTGATAAAGCCTCAGAAATCAGATTTAGACACTTGATAAAAATCAGTTCACACCACAAGGGCTGAAAAACATCTGAATTTCAAGAATCAAACAATGAATGCTAGAAAAAGTCAATAAATCCTCTTTGCAGGGAAGAACACGAGTTCTTCAATGCCCAGATTTGGAAACATCAATCTCACAAAGCACTGAACTGCAGGGTCTGACCTGTTTGCAGTCGAGGAGTTACTGAAAGCATACATGGCATCTCCATCTTTTGCTTGAGTAACAGCTTCCAGATTCTCCTCAAGGACTTTTTTATTGTTTTGCACTCCTCTCAACATCCTTTCAGCATCTGTCAGTATAGACCTTGGCACTTGGACATTTTGAAGGATGGATGGTTTGCTGACTAGATGATGTCCAGGAGGATGAGGTGCAACAGGAGGATTTTTTGTCTAAAATTGAAACAGAACCTCTAGCTTTTAATCAGAGATTGTAATTTCCTATTAATCTGTTATCACATCAATGCCATCATATGAAATCCTGCCCACGTGCACTACCAGCAACTTCAATTACTCAAGAATGTTCATTATGTTGCAAATATATTTAGAGAAGTGAAAGACATCCAAAAGATCTCAAATGGAAAATGATGGGAAGTAAGAGAAGCAATGCTAATGAGGCTAATAAGCATGTGAAAAGATGACAATTAGAAACATGAAGTATCACAAGCAAATCTCTCCACGTAACAGTAATTAAATATAATTAAGAGCCTAATAAAAGCCCAAGTCCTCTAAATATATGCACTTGTTTGGCATCAATCTACCCCCAAGAAACACCGAGCAATACTTGTAAGTTTTAACAAGATAAATCCCTCAGCAGCCCCTTGATCCTCTTTCACTTTTACTCGTTTTCACTTTTCAGAAGGAACAATGAAACCTCTCACTTTGCAGAACCCTTTTACAGAGATAAAAATCGAGCATAAATTAGCCGCTAAGTACAAAAGAAAGGGACACAAACACAGGAAACAAGTTCTCACATTCATTCTCACACTCCTGATGAAAAACCCAGGGGCCCATGAAAACTTCATCAAACAGTAAAAATATTTCAAAGTGATAAATGTACATTAAATAAACACTTCAAACCAAAACCAAAATGCCCAGACTGTGAAAACATCAACTGAATGCACAGAAAAAAGAAAATATCACAGATCACAACTTAGTTTTGGCTTTAAAGTTACTCTTTCTTCAAATCAGAATTAAACAAAAGTTTATGTTCAAGCAGATGTACTGCCACAATGCCATAACAAAACAGGAATCAACACTCTCATCCCATGACCTTGGTTTTGGCCTGGTGTAAAAGACAATATACCAAATTATTTATCAAGGTTATATAGGCTTTCATTTTAAAATTAAACTTTTTGACAAATACTAACTCAGTAAGACAGGTAAAATCTGTGAGAAAAGGTAAGAGATACAAATACATGATAAATTGTAAAATGATGTAGACTTACTGAGACCCAGATCATGAAATGGTAACTGGATCTGTTAAATATGTAAAAAATGCTGGTAGCAGCAGCCCACACTGTGCCAGTCTGCCATTATCCCCTCAAGGGATTTCCTAGGACTGAGCCAGCCAGGAGGAATGTGATCTGCACAAGGGCAATCCTTTAACAAACATCCAGGTGTGCCACAGGCAGGCAGTGACATTTCATTGCAAACACACTCAAAACTGCTTCAGCATTAGAGCATTTCATAGAAAGCCCAAAAAACCACAAAATAAACACACATAAAAAGGTCAAGGTATACCTTAATAATATCAGTCATGTCAGATTTCCATGAACTTGCTTCCTGAAAAGACAGAAGAAGAGCTGTTGAAACTTTAAGGTAAAATCCATAGGAGACATTGGATCAGTTTCTCTGGCCACAATGAATTCCTTGGGTTAGAGCACCACCTTCTGTCCTCAGCTAACCCACACCTTTGCTTTATGACAGAGCTGGTTTACCATTTACTCAAAAATTTATCATTTTATCACTCTAGAAACCTCTCAGTGATGAGGAGTCAGTAGCTAAGTGTTTAACTGACCCAGCTCTCCATTTGCTAAGTCATCACATCTCTGTCTTTCTATTGACCTTTTCATAAGAGAGATTTAAAATCATTTCTGTCTTTCTCCCATTCCTTATCCCATCTCATCTTGTTCTGTTGTAACAAGGTATACTACTTATTTAACTTTTTAGCAACAATGGTAAGAAAATACTTGCAACCTCAGTGGCACCCATTTCCACTCCTAGTAAGAATAGTTAAATGTAAAATCCTCAAAGTGTTACAAAATCTGTAAAAAATACATCAGCTATGCTATAAGATACCACAGATGAAGCTGCATTTTCTACAGATATAGCAATAAAAAACAGACAGGTAATGTAAAATATTTTTAGGGGAATATGCAAGTTGAAACTTCCAATCATAGCAGAATCAAAGCTATTACATTCCAAGCCAATTCACAGAGGTGAATTTTCACTTTTTTTTTCTCCTTTCTCACTGTGTATATTGACAAGGACAGAAAGGACCACAAAATGACAGGTGGAGCCAGGAATGGCACCAGGATAAGAGATAAAAGCCTCAGTTGTCAAAAGCTCCATGTTGCCAGCACAGAAGCAGATCTTGCACCCCCAAAGGTACAAAATCACTAGCACAAGAAACAGCACAAGGATTCTGTGCCAGGCAATTCCTTGGAAACAGCACTCAATAAAAAAATAAAGTGGCAAAATGAGAAAGGAAATGCTTAAATCAGCCCTAAAGCTGACTGGAGATGCATGGAACACTGTTCTTTCCCAAATGGGAAAATTACATCAGATCTGTAGCTCTGCAGAGAACAGGCAATGAAAATATCCAGAGCCTTTAAACAAACAAATAAACTAACTTATTTTTTTCTCTTTCTGTCCTTCCCTCTCTCTCACCTATTTTATGTCTGGGACAATAGCAGGCAGAGTCCATTGCACACCCAGAGCATTATTCAGGCTCAAAGCTCTTCCACACACAGAGACTCCAATATTTCAATTAATTGTAAACAGATGTGGATCTTTTTACAAGTGTAGAAGAGCAACACTTTTACTGATATCAGTCCTCTATGTTTTTCTCCACATTTTTATTCCCCTTCTACAAAGCCCTGCTCATTGTGATTAAATTTACTTTACCTGCAGAATGTTGTGCATTTCTCTTCTCAGCTTGCCAAGATCTTGAAGTAAATCATCTGCTTTTTGCACTGTTTTCTGAATTGAATTGTAGCTTTCAAAAGAGGGAAATAAGTCTGCAGGCAAAGCATTGTGTCTGAGGGGAGAAACACTCCTGGTTACACCTCTCATGGCTCCTGAGGTGGCCCAAGAAAGGATTCAACTGCGAAACCAAGCAGGAATTTACAGTGCAAGTACCAAACTTTCAGATAAACTGGAACTTGCTTTGGCACCTGAAGTTACAGAGAGGGTATTGGGTTTTCTCTGTTTACCACTTAACAACTTGAGCCCAATCCTTTTATTTTCAATAGTGAAATTACATCTAATAGACCAACACTTAAACTTTGCATATCTTTCCATTTGAAGCAATTAACATTTTTGTGCACATTGTTCTAAATTAGACAGCATATATGAGAAGTTTCTCACTGGATTAGTGAAATTATAACTTTACATTATTGCCTGGGGATATTATGCTTCAGACTGCATTGCTAAGAACATTTTTTTCACCCATTTTAAATCTTAGGAATTGTTAGGTGGATGCTGCTCCTGTAAAACATTCCAAGTACAACCTGCTGACCCCTGAGAAAGGTGTAAGAGCTGTCCTTAGCAGCAAGCTTTCATCTGCCTGCAGTTCAACAGGAACCACAGAATCCTGGAATATTAGAGCTGGAAGAGATCCAGAAGGATCAGAGTGCAACTCCAGGCCCTGCACAGACACCCCAACAATCCCACCCTGTCCCTGAGAGCATTGTCCAAACTCTGAACTCTGTCAAGCCTGGGGCTGTGCCCATTCCCTGGGGAGCCTGGGCAGTGCCCAGCACCCTCTGGGGGAAGAACCTTTCCTGATCTGCAACCTAAACCTGCCCTGGCACAGCCCCAGCCATTCCCTCAGTAAAAGGTAATACCAAAACAGAAATACTCCAGCACAGCTGTGCCAGACTGCAGGACCACACAGTGACTCTGTTACACCAGCAGTGTCCAATGCACCTCTCTCAATTTCACTGAAACAGAAACTCCTCCTCAGTTTTGGATTATTGTGTTTATCCACCTGTCTCTCTCAGCATGCCAGCTCCTTTCATTGTTGTTTAATGCTGTCTTCTTGGAATATTCAATTTGCTTTAGTGGTGTTTCTTGAGAATTCAAAACATGCTCCAGACCTTTCCCTTCACCTACAATGAAGTGAAATGAAGCAGAAAAAGAGAAAGTTAAGTTATTTCAGTATATTTAGCATTTTCTTTTCCTTTCCAGGTATTTCACTGTACTCACCAAGGAGAGTAAAATATTTTTAAATTTAAATATACAGATCTATTTCAGATAAGGTAAGTCACTTAGAACCACTCACATTAATCTGTCTTTTTGAGGTTGCTTTAAATTAGCAAAGCTAGATGGAATTGGGATGGCAATGAACTGAGTCATTGAGAACAAATCTGTGACATTATGGAGAGCATGCTTCTTCTTTTGTCTTGTTTCATTTATTCCTGGACCCACTGAACAACAGGAATACCTGACAGCTTTGTAACAGAGACAGAACCTGATCAAAAGCAGTAAAAGAAAATTGCATTTGCTTACATCTGCTGCTCTCAATATAATAATCCAGAGACCTTGTGGACCCATGAAAAAATGCTATAAAAATCAATTTAACCAATAATAATGACAAGGTTATTGAGTAGCTCTCAAGTTTTACATTATTGTCTTATCTTCCTGAAACTTGACTTTGAAAAAATATTTCAGTGAGCAGTCCTGCTGAAACTCTATAGATTAAATCAGCACTGTCTTTAAGTCTTTAGATACTTATGAGTAAGTGACTTATACACACAACTTCCAAATGTAGATTCCAAATAATCTCAATATATGCATTTAAATGCCAGCAACCCAAGGGAAAAGGTCAGAAAAGATGAGGAATACACAAAGTAACCACCAGGCCATACTAGTTAGGCCAGTGAAGGACAATACCTTCTCTTTCAGGTTTGGGAGTATTTTCTTTTTCTACTACAGGGTTTTCTGAGATCTTCCCATTTTTTGGTACAGGTTCTGGAGCATATCTTCGAGGAACTGGTGTCTTTAGAGGAGATTTTTGTGTATGACCCCCATGACTTGGAAAATTGCTTGAATATGCTTCAGGGAACACTAAAAAAAAGTTATTTAAATGTTGACAATTTTCTTCAAAGGAAATTATATCATAGAATCACAGAGTGGTTTGGGTTGGAAGGGACTTTAAAGATCATCCAGTTCCACCCCCTGCCATGGGCAGGGACACCTTCCACTGTCCCAGGTTGCTCCAAGCCCTGTCCAGCCTGGCCTGGAGCACTTCCAGGGATCCAGGGGCAGCCACAGCTTCTCTGGGCACCCTGTGCCAGGGCCTCACCACCCTCACAAGAATTTCTTCCTGGCATCTAATCTAAACCTACATTCCTTCTGTTTGGAGCCATTCCCCCTTGTCTTTCCTTGCAGACTCCAGGAAAAAAAAATCTAGGAAAAAACCCATGGCAGGTCTATAAATTCTGCACAAAAATGCAAAGAGTTAGTGCACTAGTTAAGTAAACAGGAAGAAAATTTCATACTTCTGACTGCTACCATAAGGGGATTAAAAAAAAACCCAAAACCCCACTGTAGTTCATCACAGGCTTCCACACAGGTTATGTCTCAATAAGATTAAGTCCAGGCCCCTCCTGGTACAGACTTCAGTAAATCAAAAGCCTCACTTTAATTTAAAGTGGAAGATACTGGAACATCTTCAGAATGTCACGAAAATTATAAAGAGCATTGGGCAATAAAACAAATTACACAAGAAATATTTACTGCTCATTACTGCTGTGATACACAATACAATATTAATGGACACCAAATTAATGCAAAACTAACAGTGAAAATAAGAATTTGTCTCCACCTTGGGCAGGTGCAGCACTGGCAGGGAATAAACTCCTGTGAGATGAAGGTGCTTCATTAGTGAGTGATCTCTGCTCTGGCTTCTCCCAGTGCCCTGCCAGGGGCCCAGAGGCAGGCACAGGAGCCTGCTGCAGGCCACGGGTGTTCACTGCAGAGCTGATGAGATGGGACTGGGAGACAAAAGGACAGAGGATTTCTGGTCATTGAATCACAGAATTGTTAAAGTTAAAAAGACCTTTAAGATTACCAAGTCCAACTCTTCTCCCAGCACCACCATGTTCCCCACCAAACCAAGTCCTCCAGGACCACATCCATGATTTCTGAATACATCCAGGGCTGGTGACTCCACCACTGCCCTGTGCATGTTCCAGTGGCTGACCACCCTTCAGTGAAGAATTTCCCCTAATACCCAACCAAAACCTACCCTGGTGCAGCTTGAGGCCATTTCCCCTTGTCCTGTCCCTTGCTCCCTGGGAGCAGAGCCTGATCTGCACCAGCCCCACCCTCCTGTCAGGAGTTGTGCAGAGCCAGAAGGTCCCTCCTGAGCCTCCTTTTCTCCAGGCTGAGCTTCCCCAGCTCCCTCAGTCATTCCTGAGGCTCCAGACCCTTCCCCAGCTCCATTCCCTTCTCTGGACATGTTCCAGCCCCTCAGTGTCTTTCTCATTGTTGAGTGTTCTCACTTTGATCCACTTCCACTGAAATTTCTTTCTTTTTAATACTAAGAAACAATCCAAATTATTATAACATCAATACTGAGATACAGAAGAAATTATTAACCTGAATATTCATTTGTTGCTCCTGTAGCTTTTCCAGGTGCTGAATCCTTTGCACCATGAAGGCATTCATTTGCTTTTCAAGCTCACTGACTCTCTGCTGGTAGTGGGGCTCCTCATGTTGAGCCTTCATATGTTTTTGCTGTTCAGACACTCGTTGCACCTGCCTGTCTGTATCCTGCAGTTTCTGAAGCAGTTCTGAAACTGAGTTCACTTTTGCTTCCAAAAAAAAACACTTCTTCCTTACCAGGTATGCATTTTTGGCAAAAAACTGAAGTGCTGCAGTTGTACAGAAACAGAACAGCTCAACAATTCACACTCACTTTTGCATTAATACTGCTCTCAGAGCCTCCTTCTGGCCAGTAGCATACTGGGAAATAAAAACATCATCTGTGGGGAAGGACAAACATCCTTTGTTGAGATAATTGGCACAACATGTCTATTTCACAGGTAGAGACAAAGTACAATACATTTGATTTTGCAGTGAAGAATCTGTTGCCTGCAGGAACCACATCATCTATTGCAATAACAAATTGTTTCCTTTCAGTAAGTAGACAATTTAAATAATGGTAAGAGTAAGAGCAGGCTTCATTTAACACAATTTTTATAGCACTGAATGCTGGTATCAATAAAGTCCAATCATGGTGAGTAAAGTCTCAATGGCAACTCAAGCTAAGACAACCCAATCAATAAAATGCTGCAAATTCTGACTTCAAAACAATTTAATTAAGAAAACCCCAGAAAGAGTATTTCCCTACCATCATCATAAATTACAACAAATTTTCTTAATAGGTGCAAATCATGCTAAAAGCATTGCAGGCTCTCCCTCACCCACTGTTTGCTGGGCAGAAGAAGAAAATGCTGGTGAGTCAAATAGCTGCTGCCTGTGAGTGTAAAAGTACTGATTTTTGGTCTTAACTAGGGTATTGATTTGTATTTTTTCTCCTTTACACAGCTCCAGATATCCAAGAAACCTGCATAAGTGTGTTTTCCTCAAAAAGCCTTCACTTCCCTAAATCTGATTGAAATCAGCAGATTCAGAAATTAAAGACACTGACATTGTGATTTCTAGGATTCTTGAGGATTAGAAATACACTTTTTTGGTACAGGCTGCTTGAAGAAAAATATGCCTTTGCAGCACAATAATTCACAAGAGGAAAATTAATCAAAACAAGCCCCTTCCCCAAACTGTCTGTTCAGAGACATGAATATTTGGTTAACAAAAGGAATCTCAACACAAGCACACTGGCAGAAGTCCCACTGAGTTAATTTAAAAAATGTAATGCCAGCAAGAATAAGATAAGATTTGCAAAATTAAAGAATGTTTATTGCTATTATCATTTTTTTATCAAAGCAACCTTTGAATATTTTCACTCAGAAGTTTCTATAATGGAAAAAAAAAAAACCAAACCTAAAAGCTCCCTTTTCCTTTAATTAATCAGTCTCCTAACAAAAAAAAAAAAAAAGGTGATTGGTGTGTTTTACCTTCAGGTCCTCTGCTATTTTCCAGCAGCACCAAACGATCATCTTGTGCTGCAGCTTCTTTAGGATGATCCTTCAGAACAAGAGCAGAAAAAGCAGAGATCAAAGCCTCTGTAGCCAAAATTTTAGAGGCAGATGGAATTGCTGAGCACACAAAAGGAACCATTTGTACACAGCAACACAAAGATCTTGGCACAAAACATGACAAGACCTCCGCCACATAAGGGTCTGGACACTGCTGGCAAGAACTCCCATGGCATTTTAGGGACTAAAACTCCACAAACACAATTCAAATCAAAACCACACATTCTAAGTGCTAAGTAAGATTATTCTCCTCATTTGTGGCCAAAGAAGCAGTAGTGAAACTGTACCTGCTGAAGTTTAGAGAAGTTGCTAATCTTGGACAGTTCAGGATTGCTCACACACAGAGAATGAAGCACTCAGTGTTAAATAAAGCCCCTCCAAAAGCACCAGCAATAACACCACACTGGCAGCAACTCAAAGAAAAAAAGCAGCTGCACAGTTGTGGTGCAGAGGCTGAGCCAAAATCTTGTGCTGCTTTTAGAGGAGCTACAGCTTTTTGAGGAAAGTAGTGTTCTCTTAGCTCAGGACTGCAGGAAGGAGCAGCAGCTTTTCTTACCATTTGGGATAAAAACACGGGCTCTGAATTTTCAACTGGAAGGAGACATTCTGGATATGCTTTGGTGCTTAGGACTCCTAAAATAAAAGCAGTTTTGCTGTGGTCAGAATCATTTGTGGTGCACTTTCTGCACAGCTCCACATTTCCCTTATTCTGAATAACTAAACGTCACGACCCCCATAACACAAATGAGCAGAGATTGAGCCAAAGCTTAACAACATCAATGAATTCTGTGAATCTGAATGAGAAATTCAATTTACAACATGGGGAAACCTCTGAAAAACAGAACATTACTGAACAGCTGATGCCTTGTGAAGGCTGACTTAGAACAGAGACTAGATGGAGCTAAAGTAGGAATTTATTAGGAGGCCTCAGTGGATCCACCTTGGGCAGCACAAGAGCCCAGCCAGGGCTACACCCAAGATGAACCAAAATGGTCACAAAATGGACCATAGGTCACAGGGTCTCTCATTTATATAAGTTCTGCTCCATTTGCATATTGGAGTTAATTGTCCAGTTACAGCCAGCCCATGCAGTTCCATCCTTCTTGTTTTTCTCTCTGCAGCCCACAGTGTTTGTGCTTTTGTGCCTGAGATTTGGATCATTTATCTTTGGTCCCCAGCTAGAGCAGGAATTATTTTGTCTCCCTGCTCTGTGCAGAGAGCTCAGCATCCCCTGATACGAAGCTCAGAGCTGCACACTAAAGCAGCACAGAATCTGAAAAATAGAAAAGCCAAACCCTGAGGCATCACATCCTTTACCCGGGGATGTTTAGCAGGGATTAAGCATCCCTGCCTCATTGGAGAGGGACACCTTCCACTGCCCCAGGCTGCTCCAAGCCCTGTCCAGCCTGGCCTGGAGCGCTGCCAGGGATGCCGGGGCAGCCACAGCTGCTCTGGGCACGCTGTGCCAGGGCCACAGCGCGCACAACTCGCACCCCACGTACAGAACAGCTCGGGAAAACACAGCGCTGACAACTGCGGTAGAGAGTCCTTAACCACACAACTCCTCCGCGGCTGAAATCGCCTCAGCTGCGCTTTGTGCCGGACCCTCACGGACGCACCTGCAGCGGCGCCGGGCGGGTCGCGGGCGGTGCCGGTGCCTCCCGGAGCCCGGGCGGGCCCCGCGGCCGGGCTGGCCCGCACAGCTCCGTCCGCAGCCGCAGCCGCATCCGCGGGGCAGGGCGAGCCCCCGGCACGGAGCTTCTGCACGGCCACGGGCACCGGCACCTTCCTGCCGCGGCCGCCGGCCGGGGGCTGCTCCCTGCGGGCCGCCGTGGAGCGGACCAGCACCTCGCCCGCCGTCAGGCTGCCCAGCGAGTCCCGGCTGCCGCCCGAGCCGCTCTCCGCCTCCATGAGGGAGCCTCAGGGCAGCGCCGGGCGGGCCGGCCACGGCGGCGGCAGCGCCGCGGGGCTCCGCTCCCCTCCCGCGCCGCGGGCACGGCTGCCGTGCTTGAGAGCACCGCTCCCGCTGGCCCGGCCCCTATCCCGGCCCCGTTCCTGCTGTACCGATCCCGTTCCTACTGTCCCAGCCCCGTTCCCGCTATCCCAGCCCAGTTCCTGCTGTCCCGGTCCTGTTCCCGCTGTCCCGGCCCCGTTCCCGCTGTCCCGGCCCCGTTCCCGCTGTCCCAGCCCCGATCTCGCTATCCCAGCCCAGTTCCTATTGTCCCGGCCCCGTTCCCGCTGTCCCGTTCCCGTTCCCGCTGTCCCGGCCCCGTTCCCGCTGTCCCGGCCCGGCCGGCGGCACCGGAAGCGCGCGGTGCCATGGCCACGGCGTCCCCTTAACCGGCGTCCGGCGGGAAACGCGCGGGTCCTCCCCTCAACGGCGTCCGGCGGGAAACGCGCGGCCCGGCAGGGTAAATCGGGCGGCGGCTCCGCGCGCGGCCGATTCGCCGGCCCGTGGCGAATCTGCGGGGCCGGGGCCGGGCCGGGCCCTCCTCGTGCGCGCGCGCGTGGCGAATCTGCGGGGCCGGCGCGCGGGCGGTGAGTGCGCGCGGGCCCGGAGCGCGTGAGGGAACGGGCGGGGGAGCGGGCGCGCGCTCGTGGGGGACCGGGAGCGTCCCTGAGGGACCGGGAGGGACCGGCAGCCTTTCCGTGGCCCGGGAGAGCCTGGGAGACACCAGGAGCCTCCCCTTGAGGGCCCAGGAGAGCCCGGGAGACGCCGGGAGCGTCCCCGTGAGGGCCCAGGAGACACCGGGAGCCTCCCCGTGGCCCGTGAGGGTCCGGGCGCGCTCCCGAGGGCCCTCAGTGGGGAGATCCCCGCTCTGTGCCCGGTGTTGGGCCCGGCTTGGCTGAGCGAGTGATTCCCGAGGGAGAGGAACTCAGTGTGCCCTTGGAGGGGAGAACTGAGGGATGGAGTAGAAGGAAAAGAGCAAAAAAGAAAATAAAGCTCGACCTATTAGCCTCAGGTTTTGGTTTTGTCGGGTGAGAAGCGTCAGCCAGGTGTGCTCTCACTCAGAGGGGAGTGCTGGGGGGAAATGTGTATTTTCCCTCAGGCCTGACGCCCGAACACGTGAGGCTCTCGTGGTGCTGAGGTCAGGCTGACCCTGGTAACTCTCCTTTGCTGCTCCATTTCTACCTCTGATCCCTTCTCCTTCAGAGCAGGGTCCAGGCCAAATGCAGGAGGCAGTGACTGATAACAAGCTGAGCATGAGCTGCACCTGATTATCCAGCTCCTGACTGGCCCCTCTCATCTCACCCTGTCCTTCTCACTTCCATAAATGACTCTGAAAATTAATTTGTTTGGGCTTCTTTTAAGTCTGAAGGCAATCCAGTTGTAGCTTAGTAATCCCCCATGATAAAAGAACTTTCTCTACAAGCTGTGAGGAGTTTACCTTGACACAATTCTTTGACTCAAGATTTTATTCTTTGAGACCTTTCTTTGACTTGATGCTTTTACCCTTCTTTTTCCTTTTCAGAAACACTTGCATGGTGTTCTCTGTGTGCAGCTGGAGGCAAAGGTTGAAAGACACATTGCAGCTTTCTTTTTATGGAGTAGGTAGTGGTTACAGCTGATTCGGATGGTTAGTGGGGATTACAAGTGTGAGGGATTTACAGTGTCTCTCCATCACTCTTCTTCCCAGAAAAATGCAGCTCTTCTCAAAAAGATGGGGATGGGGGGAATCCCAAACACAGGGTTTGTTTATTTTGATCAGAGGGACTTCTCTTAATGAAACTTATATATTTGTAAGAGCCCGAGGGCCTTTCAAGAAGGGAGATTTCCCAGTTCTTGTTCCTTTCTGGTGACCCAGCACACCCAGACTGTGTGTCCCTTGCAGCAGAGGTTTATTCAGAGACCTGTGCTTCCTGCAGTGTGAATATCCTTGCTTAGAGAGGCAGTGCTGAATTTTTTAATCGTGTTCAGCCCACGGGATTAAACCTGAGCCTGCAGGAGAGGTGTGAACAGCTCTGCAGGGAGCTCTGGGTTGGCTGAGGTGCTGAGCACTCTTTCATCACTCTTTAAAAGCTTTTTGCAGAGTTGGAGGGAAAGGGGAGAAGCAGCAGGAAATCTTGAAAGAATACATTTAGCATACTTTGGAACAAAGCAGGTTTGCACATTCCTGGGAATGTTCAGTAGCTGGTTTTTACATGTAAGGCTGATTTATTGCTGAAGGTGCAGCAGAGCCTTGTAATTCCCCCGTGGAATGTGTGAAATACCTGTACAGGGACAAGAGCTTCAGGCACTTCAGATCAGGTTGTGCTGATGTGAATCAGAGCCTTTCCCAGGTGTCAAAGCTCTGTGAAACTCCAGCTTCAATCTGCCATTTCCAGTCTTGCCAAGTCAGTCACAGAAGGACAGGGATCAGGTTTGCTATAAACACGGATCATGAGGCAACCCTGAGTGTGGGAAAATGGCACCGACAGCTGAAACTTTGAGATTCCTGCCTTTGGCAGAGGACAGAAGTGCTCCCTGCAGTTTCTGTTTAATTATCCACATACCCTGCCCCGGGAGAACTGTCACTGCTCTTGTTTTCTCACAGGCTGAGAAAGTGAGAGTGGAGTTGCCATCGCTTCTCACAGGTTACTCCAGTGATGGGCATGTCCATTCTCCTGAAACAAATTAGGGGTTTAGGAGAGAGGCTGGAGAGGGACTTTGGACAAGGGCATGGGGTGACAGGACAAGGGGTGGTGGCTTTGCCCTGCCACAGGGCAGGGTTAGGTACTGGAAAGAAGTCCTTGACTGAGCGTGGTGAGGCCCTGGCCTCAGGGTGAGGCCCAGGGTGCCCAGAGATGCTGTGGGTACCCCATCCTGGCAGTGTTCCAGGCCAGGCTGGAGGGGGCTTGGAGCAGCCTGGGATAGTGGAAGGTGTCCCTGCCATGGCAGGAGGGTGGAATGAGATGATCTTGAAGGTTCCTTCCATCCCAAACCAGTTTGTGATTCAGTGACCACCTGAATAAAACCTGGTTCCTTGTTGCCACCATAACCTGTGTGACCTGCCTGCCCATGGGGAGTTCTTGCATCCCAGATTCATCTGTGCCCTTGGCCTCCAGGCTCTGAACTGGCTCCCTGTGCAGGGATAAAGTGTGGTGACATCAGGAGGCAGATGTCACCATCCCTGTGCTGTAGGGACAGCTCACTCTTGTGAGAGCTCCCTGATGCTATTTTTAGTTGCTTCATTTTCTTTCTGTTGTTGAAATAATTGTTGCTGTCTCTTTGTTTGTGTTCAGGTGGCTTGTGTACCCCTTCCTTTCCCCCTGCTGAGAGACTGCAATAGCTAAAGCCCTCTAAAACATTAATGTCTTGCCCAAAAATTGGCAACGCATAATAGAAGATTAATTTTAAGTAGCCCTTGCTAAAGGACTAAAATTATTTTTTTTCCCAAGTGACTGCACTTCAGTGCTCATTTTTCTTCCACAAGTTGAATTAAACCAAGGAGCTTGTTCTTGCCAACACGTGATCTTCGTTTGCATTATCACCTGTGACAACAGGTCTTAGATAACATGGAAATTAGGGGAAAAGGAAGACCAGGCTTCAGTCTTCTAGGAAACCTGCAGGGATGCTTTCAAGCCTTAACTTGTTCACTGTGTTGGGTTAGGAATGTGAGTCTTCCTTGAGGATGCTTGCTTAAATTCTTAGATCCATGGCTGTTTACTTCTTCCCTTTTTGTCTGTTTCATTCCATTTTCATTGCTCTCTGTTTTTCTTGCATTTAATTCACTACAATAACCACAACATTTGCTGTAGTTCAGGTGTCTGGTGCAGCTACACAGAAACCAGGCCTGCACTTTGTGCTGCATCTGTTCAGTGACTGCCAGTTTATATTTGCCTTTTTTCCTTACTTTTTCCAGATCACATCTAAAGTCACTGAAACTCCAAGGCTAGAAAGTGTTATGACTTTGCTTCTTCCCCAGCTCCTGCCCTAGCTTATCTAGCAAGTTTGACAGCACTTACAAAAACAAATAAGGTATTCTAGAAGTCACTATGGCTGTGTGAAATGCCCTAAAAGTCTTTAAAGGACAGCAGTTAGCAGGTGGATCTGGTAAGGTTTCATACCTGGGATTATCTTGGATGGTTTTTTTAACTGAATGCATTCCCAACAGATAACTTCCCTTCAAGTGAATGGCTTGGAAGTTTGCTAGCAAAGTTGCATTTAAACAGACTTCAAGGATGCACAAAATTCCATTCTGATGTAAAATTTTGCAGTTCCTATTTATGTTTTTTATTTAAAACTCGACTTTTATCCTCACCTTTAGGTGACTGAGCCACAGGAGGTGGAACATGGCTGGACAAATATCAGAGTCTGATCAGATCAAGCAGGTGAGATGCTGCATTTGGGAGGGGTGGCTTTGAAAGCCTTGTGCTGCTCTGTCACAGGGAGTGGAAGGTATAGTACACAGGGAAGGACAAAAACTCTGAGTTATCATCTGAGTTAACACAACCAAAATTTCAGTAGGTGACCTTTGACAAACAGCATGTTTTGTGCACGAGCAGCTTTTGGTGCTGAAACCTTCTGACTGAGAGTAAATTTTTCTAGGGACTTGTCCTTCAGATTGTCTTACACTATGCAGCTGTATGTAAGAAAAATAAACACTGACTTTTAATTTTTTTTTTATTATTCATTGTCCAATTTTTATTTACAGTTCAAGGAGTTTCTTGGCACATACAATAAACTTACAGAAAACTGCTTTGTGGATTGCATAAAGGATTTCACTAGCAGAGATGTGAAACCAGAAGAGGTAGGTGATGGCTTCTAATGACCCTTTGGTAGAATTGCTGTGCAGCATTCCAATTTCAGAAGCAACTGAGAAAGTTTTGATCTTTAAACTAAGATAGAAAGCAGCAGCCTTCAGTGGAGTGTGGGTGTCTGGCGTGTTGCTTCCAAGTGAGTGTCCCATCCCAGACCAGCTTGGAGCAGCCTGGGACAGTGGAATGTGTCCCTGCCCATGGCAGGGAGTGGAACTGGATGCTCTTTAGGATTCCTTCCACCAAAACCATTCTAGAAGTGGTTGTCACACACAGAATCTGCCCAGTCCCCACTGCATATTGGCTGCTCATTGCAATTCTGTGTGTTTCATTCCCTGAGCTGTCAGTGGAGGTTCTTGTGCCTTAACTTCTCATGGATGGTGACTCCATGGACATGGAAGCTGCCCACCTACAGCCTGCATCTCATTCTTTGAGGAATCCTGCTGAAATATTTGTTCACCTGCCCATGTTCCTGCTTTGTAGTGAGTCATGGGAACACAGCTCTGGCTGTTCAATCCACTTCCCTGCACTGCAGGGAGCTCCCTCTCGTCGTCATCTGCAGAAAGATTAATCTCTCCATAAGATTAGTTGCGTGGTTTTGCTTCTCCTCTCCTGTTGAGAGGCTGTTTCAGAGCCTAATCATTTTGTTGGTTAAAAATCTAATAACCTTTGCTTGACTGCTGGCAGAAAAGAAAAAAAAAGCCTAAAATTTTAAACTAACCATTGTTTTTGAGCCTTTTCTGCCTCCTTGAGTTCAACTCCTCGCTGCAGGCAAAACTCATGTCTCCTTTCAGCTTTGGTTCTACTGCCCTGAACAGAGCTCTCTTAGCTTCCCAATACAGATGTCTTCTTTCCCTAATCTCTGCATCTGCTTTAGTGGAATTCTATTACAGGTCATAATTATTCTGGATTAAAGATTACTTAAATCCAAAATATATTCTTAGATTCTTGGAGCAACCTGGACTACGGGAGGTGTCCCTGCCGTGGCAGGGGGCTGGAATGAGATGATATTTAAGGTCCATCCCAAGCCAAACCATTTTCTGATTGTGACCTGCCTTTTTTTGCTTCTGTGGATTGCAGAGGATTCATGTCTGGCAGCACAGGAGCCATCTGTTCACAGAGGAACTAGGAAGAAACTTTCTTATGGGAAGTTCTGTCCAGATTGTCCACTATGGGATTTCCTGTTTCTGGAAACAGCACACTTGTCTAGATGGACATTGCTGTGAAAATTCCCATGTTTCTCTTGAGAGTTGTAGTTCCTTATTAAATAGTTGAGGTTTATACCTCCACACATCCCCTTTGGGATCCTACACTAGAAAAAACCCAACTTCTGAGCTCTTTCCTAATCCAGGTGCCAGTGCAAGTCTGGACTCCCCAGCAGCATCACACACGCCGCTCCCTCTGGCAGCAGAGGCCTGGGGCAGTTCCAGAAGTTGTTTCCTAGGGAGACTCCACTCCTGCTCAGCAGGTTTGGCTGTAGCTGGTGCCAGGCTGAGGACAGAGAAGGGCAGGGGCTGGGTGGTGTGTGGAGTTGCTGGGGTTCTGTCTAGTTCATTTCATCCCTTCTGCTTTTCACATCCTCTGTACTGAGCAGAACCAAAGCAGTGCCTGTGTTCCCAGGTAAAAGGTTTGGCTTTCCTTTCTACCCAAATCTGTTAACCTTTGTAGTGATAGCAAGGCTTTGAGCCATGGAACAGAATATCCAATTAGTAGGACTGTAGCTCAGAAATCATCTCACAACTCTCTCTACACTTTAAATTTGAAAAATACTGTGGATGGGATAGGCTCTGGTCTTTATTTCCCAGTCCAGCTGACTGATGTACTCTGGTGGCAAGGCAGGTACCAGGCAGCTGACAGAGCCAATGGGAACAAGGGTAAAAAAGGGTTAACCTGAGTTAGCAGAGAGCAGATCATATTTGGGTGTCAAAGCCAGTGTGTCTTTGTAAACAGAATTAAAACAAAATTTACTAATTTATTATTAATTTCAAAATATGTAGTTCAATTCCACAAGAGGAGCCCAAGGACAAAAGGATGGTATCTCCCAGGTCCAGGGTGTTTTCCATGGAGACTTTAATATGAGAATGAATATTAGTAAATGTTTCAGGCATACCAGAAAAACTCAGCTTTACATTTTCTGCTGCCCTCATCTTGACAGTATGGGATGTACTCACCTAATTGTTTATCCCTGTCTGTGGTGATATTTTGGGTCCTGGTTGGGGACATGTTTGACTTACTGTCTGAAGCCCTGTGTTTCCCTCTTGCTGCAGATAACTTGCTCAGAAAACTGCCTGCAGAAGTATCTAAAGATGACACAGAGGATCTCCATGAGATTCCAGGAGTACCACATCCAGCAGAACGAGGCTCTGGCAGCCAAGGCAGGACTGCTCAGCCAACCTCGTTAGAGCAGAGCACTGTGCTCAGACTTAAGCTGTGCCAAGAACACATTGGGGGACTCCTGCTGTCAGGATATGTGTCCAGCAGCTCAGAGCAGAGCTGTGGGTGCTGCTCAGGCAGTGGGAGCAGAAGGGTTAAACAGGAGCTCAGTCCTGATGGCCTTGCAGTGGAGTTTGTTTCCACAAGGGAATGATGCAGATACATTTCCCAGGGCCTGCAGACTGGTGTCTGAATTTCAGGGGTGGTGGGAGGGCTCACCTGCCTTTTGCTGAAACTGGTTGAGATGAATCAATGTAATGTGGGGAATACACTTTTTTATTTAATTCCAATAAAATCAGCTGGAGCCATATACAGCTGTGTGTTCTTTCCAAAGAGTCATTTTTGGGACATTTGAAAGGAGCATTTTGTTTGCTGGGGACTCTTTGCTCAGCTGCTCCAGAGTTCTGTTCATTCACTGCTGCTTTAGGAGCTGACAGATGCCAGAGGGAGCTCAGGCAGGAGTGCCCCAGGTTACCTTTGGGTCATTTACAGGGGACAGAGGGAGCCCACGGCGTCCTCCCAGCCCAGCTTCCTGGCCTGACACATTCCAAGCACTGAGCTTGCTGCAGATTTCTCCTTTCTCCTGTGAATGCCAGCAGGAAATACAGGCTCTGCACGGCACAGGGTCTGTCCTGCTGCTGCATGAGCCCAGAGAGAGGTTTGGAAGGCAGCTGGATTGGGTTAGCAAACACAGCAGTGCTTTGGAAGGATCCTGACAGCTGAACTCCTGCAGTCAGGGCGTTAGTGCAGTGGAATGACAGTCAACAGGCACCCTGTGCTTCAGTTCTCACTCATAAAATACAGGAACAATGGGAACAACATCAGGAGCACCAATTTTTAGACTCAGGTGATGAGGAGTGAGCCAAAACTATTTCATGTCAGCTGCCAGGTTCTGTTATTGACAGAGAGGCAACAGGAAGGGCAGGAGGACTTTTTTGTTGTTACCTTCTCTACCTTTCTATTTCCAGCAGCAGCCTGAATGAATAGCTCAGCTGTGCAGGCTGTGGATTCCTGGCCCCTGAGGGCAGCACAGTGCCCCTGCCCCCTGCAGCAGACTGCTCTCTGTGCTGCAGCTCTCCCTGGAACGCTGCTCCTGTGCTTGCAAAGGTGGAAGGAGCCAGTGTGAGCCTCCAGTCTCACAGCCCTGTGTTTGTGTCACAGCCCCTTCTCCCTTGCCTGTGCCTTGTTACCCTGGAGATGGATGAGAGCTCGCTCTGAAATAGTGAAGGCTAAAAACCAGCCCAAGTAAGGCAGCAAGTCTGCAGTGCCCTGTGTTTGCAGAGTATCAGGCTAAAACTGTCCAGATTGTTTGCTACAATCAGGCCACAATTGCTGCAGCCAAATTAGAATCAATATGTGCACAGTAAAGACTGAAGGCTTTCCTTGAAGCAGTCTCTTTTTGTTAAACATTCGAAAGTAATCCATGATTGAGATTTTCCACTGGATCTTCATGTGCAAAGAGGTGCTCAGAAAAGTGTCTGAAGAGTCTGACTGATGGAAGTGGAGGATTTTCACATCTTCTGAACAAAGCACCTGGGGGCTGAAGTGAGTGGGGTTAAAAAATTAATGGTTCTCTCTCATTTTAGTATTTGGAGTTAGGAAAATATTTAAATATTTATTAGGACAGATTTCCTGAAAAAATGGTTAAGCAAGTTTTAGAGAGACTTAGTTAATAAATTTCCCACTTTCAGATTTGGATAACCAGTTTTGTCAAAGCTCTGTTTCTCTACAAAAATCTTGTTGTCTTTCACATCCAGGTGACAGGTTGCTTACAGACAATACAAATAAAATTGAGCTTGGAAATAAAATGCATGTAAGTAAAGCATCCAGGTGGATAAAAATAAATAATATAAAATAGGATAGAAATGGTTTTACTCTGGATCCTAACAGACAACAGCATTTTCTTAAGTGCCATTAAGGGGTGTCAAGAGGAGGTGAATCACCTTGCTGAGGCACAATAGGTGCAGGAATGGATCCCACTGATGGAAGGAGCAAAGGGTGAAAAATGGGAAGCTGCTGAGGGAGGAGTACTCAGAAAGCTGTGGAAAAAGTGAGCCAAAGTGGAGGTGGGAGGGGAGGGAGCAGGAGGGCAGCCTGCCAAAACCCAGCTCAAGGAAACTGAGCTGGTAAACAGACACTCATTTGGGGGAGATGCTCACTGCAGCAGCAGTGGGGGAACACGGATCCTTCCTGCTGCAAAGACAATTCCTCCTCAGCCCACAGAAAGCAGAACCTTTTCAGCAGCAAGGGTCAGATGAGAGCCTTGCTCCAGAGTGCCCTGGACAGCACAGTGCTGGCACAGCCACCAGATCAATCAGCTGGAAGATTATAATAGAGGCTCCTTGAATTCTCTCCAGGATAAAAGCAAAGCCCCAATTTATGTAATCCCCTGCTGAGAGCTTCAACTGCTGAGCTCTGTTGGAAGGCAAGAAAAGGAGTGACTGCAGAGCTGTCAGGGAGTGTGGGTGAAACACTCAGTGTGGCTGTGGCTTCAGAGCGAGGCAAATCCTGTGAATCCTGTGTGCTCTGGCATTCCCCACTCTGGGAACTGGAGCTTAGCAACAGCTCTTGGTTCAGCATCTTCTCTTAGCTAGTTGGGAAGTCAGCACATGGCATTTGAGGAATCCAGTTCAAACCTTAGGAAGTCCATTAAGCTCAGCTCCAAAATTCCTTGAATGAGTCTGGCCCAAACTCTAAAAGCTGAAAAAGCAATTAAAGCCTCTGACATCATGCCTTTACCTTGGATTTCCAGAGGACAGCATTAAAGGAACTCAAAAAGTTACAATTCTGCTTCATATTGGAGGGTTTTAAAAATTATGTTTTACCTTAACTTCACACTCTTTTGTGTTTTGGTGTCAGGGAGCAGCAGGTTCTTCACAATAAATGTCAGGTAAAATGCACGTGTTACAATGTTTTACAGCAACAACTGGAATTAGATCAGGGGAAGTACATTAATGACTGTTCCTGTAGATTAATCTGTTGTTGAATTACTGGCCATATTGCACGAAAAGGCACAGGGAGGAGGCTGGGTCACACCAGAAGGCACTTGGAGGATGGATCCTGGGGCACCAGGAGAGGGGCAGGGTCACCCTTGGAGCACTCAGAGACCACAGAGACTGCTGGGGCACAAGCAGATACTCCTGGGGGGGTTGGAAGTAGTTGATCTGTGAGAGTCCTTTCCAATCCAAACTGGTTTTTAATTCTCGAGAGACATAAGGAAATGTCTTATGGAAGATCTGGAAGAAGAAACAACACATTTCTCTGCTTGCCTGCACATCCCCAGCTCCAGCAAAGCTCTGGGACAGGCAGGACATTGGAGGGGATGCACTGAGCAGTGACATCCCTGGGCACTGGGACAGCCAAACAGTGAAAGTTTTATTAAAAAGCAGCTCTGGGCTGAATGTAACATCAGCTGATCGTGCAGAGGCACAGAGAGGTGTTACCCTGCACGGGGATGCTGCCCAGTGCCTCTGAGCCAAACAGAAATCACGTTCTCATCAATTGTTCAGAGCTCTCCAAAGGAAAAGCAGGAAACAAGAACAGCAGCAGCCAAACCAAAGCCAGAGATCAGCTCCCTCTTGCACTGCCTGTGGATAACATTATTCCATAATTATTCCCACAGGATTAAGTGGGGCTGCTCTCACATTCTGAGTTAATCACATTCAAATACCTGCACAGACCAACATAAAATTTTACCTCTCTGGTTCCACTGCCAAAACACTTTCTTATCAGAGAGGGATTCTCCTGTCCACCTGAGGGAGCCACTGCCCCCGAGCCTGTCCCCATCCGTGCCACTGGGATGGCACACAGGGGTCACCCGCAGGGTGCAAAGCAGAGCACCTGCAGAAGGAATCAAGGGTTGGGGCTTTCCTTTTAAAATAGCTTTATTTATTCATAAGGGAAATAAAGGAGCACCAAGAGAGATGCTTCAATAGAACATAAACAGTTCCTTGTTAAAGCAGAAAGAAAACACACTCTTGTGCAATATAGCCAAGTATTTCATACAAATTCCACATCTTACTCCTCCTTATGAAACTGGCATAGCTGGCAGGAGCACGGTAAATTAGGTCAAGCTGTACCCAGATGAGGGATTAGAGGAGGAGTTTAGGAACAGCTGAAGACACCAACAGTGCTGGAATGGAAATGCTGTTGGGTTACTCTGAACAGCAGGAAAAGAAACACCACCAAACCCACAGCACCAACCCAGGGCAGTGCGTCCCCCAGCAGGAGGCTCAGGGTTACACACAGAGTGACAGCCCCTGCAGGCTGTCACAGCTGTAGCACAGCTCCAGGGCAGCTTTTCTTTGCTGGCAAACACTGACAGAGGGAAAGTGAAGCAAAGTTTCCATGGTTAGAGCAGTGAGTGAGCCGTGCTGGTGCACTGAGGCCAAGTGGCATCAAACAAAGCCACTTCTCATGTCTGAAGACTCTTGGTGAGGGATAAGCAGCAGCACAAGGGTGTTAACCAATGTAAAGAGCTGCAGAGCTGAAGCAGAACCAACCTGCTCTGAGCCAGAAGTTAGGGTTCCTCTGCAATGGGAAGGAGCAGGAATAACAACATAAATAGCAAGGATAATTCAAAACAAAGATGACACCAGACAAGTCCTATTCTTAGAAAAACTGCTTTCACAATCAACAGTTTGATCCTCCCAGTTTTCTTTAAATGACAGCATGGTGAGGATTTGTCATTGGGCTGTGACTAATCATAAAATCCACCACTCACTGGCATTAAACACACCATCACACAAAAAAATGAATTTACATATCCATAAAAAGCAATGGATGGGACTAACAATTAAATACTTGTGTAATCTGGGGAACTCACAGATCTCCAGAGCAAACAAAAGACCCCAAATAAATCCCAGCTACTCAGTGGGAACTGATAAAGGTGAGTAATTTTAAACACTGAGACCTCTTAAAATCCCATCCTATTTGGTGTGAGGTAATGGGAGAATGACAGATTTTCTCAAAATCTGAGAGCAATACCTTAATAGTGTGAGCTAATTACAAAATGTCATTTTCTTAGCTCTGGAATTACAGTGAGTCAGCCTCTGGCAACATCCCCTTTGGTTCCAATGTTTTGTTATGTCCCCCACATCTCCAGAGTCTCACACTGTAGCAAATAATAAAATCCCAAGACCAGAGAAGGAAAAATAACCAAGATTTCAGTGCACAATTTTTGCAAAGGGCAGGGGCACAGTGAAGTAAACAGCTCGACATACTTTTGTGAACACATTAATCTTTTATTTCAGCTGGTAAATCTGGCTCATGTCAGATTTCTTTCAAGCCATCAAGCCAAACCTGCTCTTT